GGTCAATGATGAAACTTAAACACTAATTGAAATGGGAAGAACAATAAGCCATTATTCGCACAGGTATTGATCTACAAATATTTGTCAATGTCAAGTATATGTTAAAAGCGAACCATTTATATATATAGTGCAGTTTGTATCTACATGTTACTCTGTAGTATTTACTTAAGGGTAAAAGTACAATCAAGATAAAAAAATCCGCAATAAACATGAATTAGTATTTCATGATAATCCCAGCAATCATTTGCTCTCGGAGGCAAATTAGGCAGCAATGATCGAATGGTTAAGATGTCTGTCGTCCTTCTCACTAACCCTCAATCTCTAGGGATTCGATCCCTGCTGGCCGCAGGTCGGTGGTTTTTCACCGGAAACTCCGGCTTTCCTTCACCACCCAAACCTGACAAGTCCTTAAATGACCATGACTGTAAGACATACAATAACCTTGCTTGTAGAACGAACTGATCAAACTTTATCTAAATTAATCAATTTGAATAGCAAAGATAATTTATTTGATTAACTCAAAGATAGCGAAAATCGTGATATACATGTACTTTGAGTCTTAACCTACTATTTGATTCTTATCTAACGGAAGGTAGGTTATTTAAACGGTTTAAAATCCGCCCTGCATGTCATCACAGACGTATTAATGTATCTCTTGTACACTCCTCTAATATCACGCGGGCAAAATGGACAATAATATTTTTGTATGGCATTATTGTAGACTGTTAGGAGTTAAAAGTCCATGATTTGATTTTTAACACGATTGTATGCATGTTTAAACTACCTATAATCATGAAACAAGGGATGACAGGAAATGTTCCTGAGATCAGTACCACGGAAACTACTTCCAGTGGCCGTTTGGGTTGATTTCAACAACGTACCTACCAAACCTGTTGATTGGGTCGATTTAAACAACATGCCTAACAAACATGCTTGCGTTTATTTCAATAACGTACCTACCGAACCTGTTGGTTGGGTTGATTTCAACAACATGCCTAACACACATGCCTGGGTTGATTTCAACAACATGCCTACCACACCTGTTTGTTGGGTTGATATCAACAACGCACCTACCACTCCTGTTGGTTGAGTTGATAACAACAACATACCTACCGAACCTGTTGATTGGGTCGATTTGGGTACCTATGACCTGCATTGTTGGGTTGATTTTGAACCATACCTACACACAACCTTTTGATATTGGGTACGATTTCAACAACGTATGCCTAAAACACCTGATTTCAACAACGTACCAACCTGTTGATTGGATCGATTTCAACAACATGCCTAACACATCTGTTTGGGTTGATTTCAACAACGTACCTACCGAACCTGTTGATTGGGTCGATTTCAACAACATGCCTAACACACATGTTTGTGTTGATTTCAACAACGTACCTACCGAACCTGTTTTTTGGGTTGATTTCAACAACGTACCTACCGAACCTGTTGATTGGGTCGATTTCAACAACATGCCTAACACACCTGTTTGGGTTGATATCAACAACGTACCTACCGAGCCTGTTGATTGGATCGATTTCAACAACATGCCTAACACATCTGTTTGGGTTGATTTCAACAACGTACCTACCACACCTGTTGATGGGGTCGATTTAAACAACATGCCTAACAAACATGCTTGCGTTTATTTTAACAACGTACCTATCGAACCTGTTGATTGGTTCGATTTCAACAACATGCCTACCGAACCTGTTGATTGGGTCGATTTCAACAACGTACCTACCGAACCTGTTGATTGGGTCGATTTCAACAACATGCCTAACACACCTGTTTGGGTTGATTTCAACAACGTACCTACCACACCTGTTGATTGGGTCGATTTAAACAACATGCCTAACAAACATGCTTGCGTTGATTTCAACAACGTACCTACCGAACCTGTTGATTGGGTCGATTTCAACAACGTACCTACCGAACCTGTTGATTGGGTCGATTTCAACAACATGCCTAACACACATGTTTGTGTTGATTTCAACAACGTACCTACCGAACCTGGGTTGATTTCAACAACGTACCTACCGAACCTGTTTTTTGGGTTGATTTCAACAACGTACCTACCGAACCTGTTGATTGGGTCGATTTCAACAACATGCCTAACACACCTGTTTGGGTTGATTTCAACAACGTACCTACCACAACCTGCCTTGTTGGGTTGATTTCAACAACGCACCTACCACACCTGTTGGTTGGGTTGATTTCAACAACGTACCTACCACACCTGTTGGTTGGGTTGATTTCAACAACATACCTAACACACCTGTTTTGGGTTGATTTCAACAACATACCTACCACACCTGTTGGTTGGGTTGATTTCAACAACATGCCTAACACACATGTTTGTGTTGATTTCAACAACATACCTACCACACCTGTTTTTGGGTTGATTTCAACACACACATGTTTGCGTTTATTTCAACAACGTACCTACCGAACCTGTTGGTTGGGTTGATTTCAACAACGTACCTACCGAACCTGTTGATTGGGTCGATTTCAACAACGTACCTACCGAGCCTGTTGATTGGATCGATTTCAACAACATGCCTAACACATCTGTTTGGGTTGATTTCACCTACCACACTGTTGGTTGGGTTGATATCAACCTACCAAACCTGTTGGTTGGGTTGATTTCAACAACATGCCTAACACACATGTTTGTGTTGATTTCAACAACGTACCTACCGAACCTGTTGATTGGGTAGGTTTCAACAACATGCCTAACACACCTGTTTGGGTTGATATCAACAACGCACCTGCCACACCTGTTGGTTGGGTTAATATCAACAACGCACCTACCACTCCTGTTGGTTGAGTTGATTTAAACAACATGCCTAACAACATGCTTGCGTTGCAACGTACCTACCACACCTGTTGGTTGGGTGGATATCAACAACATGCCTAACACACCTTTCGGTTGGGTTGATTTCAACAACATGGTTGGGTTGATTTCAACAACATGCCTATCACACCTGTTGGTTGGGTTGATTTCAACAACGTACCTACCAAACCTGTTGGTTGGGTTGATTTCAACAACATGCCTAACACACATGTTTGTGTTGATTTCAACAACGTACCTACCGAACCTGTTTTTTGGGTTGATTTCAACAACATGGCTAACACACCTTTCGGTTGGGTTGATTTCAACAACATGCCTAACACACCTGTTACCACACCTGTTGGGTTGATATCAACAACATGCCTAACACACCTGTTGGTTGGGTTGATATCAACAACATACTTAACACACCTGTTGGTTGGGTTGATATCAACAACGTACCTACCACACCTGTTGATGGGGTAGATTTAAACAACATGCCTAACAAACATGCTTGCGTTTATTTTAACAACGTACCTATCGAACCTGTTGATTGGGTCGATTTCAACAACATGCCTACCGAACCTGTTGATTGGGCCGATTTCAACAACATGCCTAACACACATGTTTGGGTTGATTTCAACATCCTGGCACACCTGTTGGTTGAGGCGATTTCAACAATGTACCTTCCACGCCTGTTGGTTATGTTGATGACGACATTGTAACTAAGAAACCTTTTGATTTGGTTGATATCAACAACGCATCTACCACACCTGTTGGTTGGGTTGATATCAACAACGCACCTACCACACCTGTTGGTTGGGTTGATAACAACAACATACCTACCACACCTGTTGGTTGGGTGGATATCAACAACATGGCTAACACACCTTTCGGTTGGGTTGATTTCAACAACATGCCTGGGTTGATTTCAACAACATGCCTATCACACCTGTTTGTTGGGTTGATATCAACAACGCACCTGCCACACCTGTTGGTTGGGTTAATATCAACAACGCACCTACCACTCCTGTTGGTTGAGTTGATAACAACAACATACCTACCACACTTGTTGGTTGGGTTGATATCAACAACATGCCTAACATACCTGTTGGTTGGGTTGATATCAACAACATGCCTAACATACCTGTTGGTTGGGTTAATATCAACAACGTACCTACCACACCTGTTTGTTGGGTTGATATCAACAACACACCTACCACACCTGTTTGTTGGGATGATATCAACAACGCACCTACCACACCTGTTGGTTGGGTTAATATCAACAACGCACCTACCACTCCTGTTGGTTGGGTTGATAAAAACAACATGCCTACCACACCTGTTGGTTGGGTGGATATCAACAACATGCCTAACACACCTTTCGGTTGGGTTGATTTCAACAACATGCCTATCACACCTGTTGGTTGGGTTGATAACAACAACATACCTACCACACCTGTTGGTTGGGTTGATATCAACAACATACCTAACACACCTGTTGGTTGGGTTGATATCAACAACATGCCTAACACACCTGTTGGTTGGGTTGATATCAACAACATGCCTAACACACCTGTTTGTTGGGTTGATATCAACAACATACCTAAAACATACCTGTTGGTTGGGTTGATATCAACAACATACTTAACACACCTGTTGGTTGGGTTGATATCAACAACGTACCTACCACACCTGTTGGTTGGGTTGATATCCATACCTACCACACCTGTTGGTTGGGTTGATATCACCTTCTAATCACCACATTAATCGACATCTAAAAATGATCAAAATTATCGTATAATTATGGTGCCAATAACTTGTGACTTATCTACACTTTAGGAACGTTAATGTATCCTCAGATCAGTTAAATCATATATAGGAATATTACTTATACTGGTCCAACCCAATGATTTTAATTCAATGTGTGCTTCGTAATTCTTGCGGCTACTGTTTCTAAATTTCGCGATTAAAAGTTTGCAGGTACGTTGAAGTGATCGTGATAGACTTTTGCCGATATTGTACACTATCGAATTATGATTCCTGACACTGACGATCGCAAGGAAAAATGCAACAATGTTAGGTCGTTATTATTTTCTCTATCTCTTACAAATATTTTCGTTTTTATTTTCAGGAAATTAATTCCTAGGACTTCAAGAAACAAAAGATGGCATTTTTAAACTGGGCGGATTACACCGTGTTTGTTATAACGCTGTGTTTCTCGTTAGGAATAGGCCTTTTCTATTCTTTACGGGGACGCAAGCAAAAAACGACAAAGCAATTCATTTTAGGTGATGGAAATATGTGGACGTTTCCAGTGGCCTTATCGTTAATGGTTTCCTATGAATCTGGCATCATGATGTTGGGAGTTCCGGCGGAAGTGTACATGTACGGAATGCAGTGGTATATGTCAATTATAGGGATTTTTATAGCCCAGCTATTAACTCTCTATCTTATCATACCGTCACAAAAGAAACTCAACTTTACCAGCATGAACCAGGTAAATCTTTGAAAACTGCACGTCAGCACTAAAAATGACCACGAATAGTTTCTGCTTTCTTAACAAATTCAAATTTTCTTCGAAAAAATATTATGACACAAAACTCCGATTGGATAGACCCTGACAACAGGTCAGAGAATGATTTCGATATAAATGTAGGACCTACTGTATCATTATCATTATTCTTTTATTGCACAGACTCATAATTAGAATAATACATTTTATTTCAACATGTTCACCACAACAATTTAAATAATAAAAAGAAATCACACATCAGATCATATTGAAGGTTTAGCGGAGAAAAGTTGTGACAAAGGAATTTAATCCAGTCTATGTTTGATAATCGATAGAATGCACAGTACTATGATTGTAGTAAGAGACATTAAACAAACCAGGCGCAGTGTCCTATGTTCACATATCCCTACATTATATGCTTTTCAATACCACACGGTGTATTGATTCATGTATATTAGTCATAGTAATTTGATCAGGATGTAATTTTCTTTCCTAAACAGACATTTTCATTTGCGATTTCAACGTATCTACCATTTTCATTTGCGATTTCAACGTATCTACCACCCAATCAAAGGTAGTCGTCATATCTTCATGTTATGAAGGCATTACACAAACTAATTTGATAGAGAGCAAGCAAGATTAAGTTATGTAATAATCACAGTATGCACATAACTTATGTTTTTTGCGAGGTCGTTAAATCGCATTGAAAATTGAATCACATATGAATGATAATGATGTTGTTATTATAGTATTTCGAGCTACGCTTCAACTCCCATGGGATTCGAGTATTTGCAACAGTCATAGGCCTGCTTGCAAGGGTAAGATTCATACATATTCATCACATTATTGTCAGTGTCATAACCATACAAGACGTATTCAGTTCTGATTTGGAAAAAATTATCTTCGTTTTAAAGAAATGTTGCTCGATCAAAGAAATTATTGTTTATCAACAAAATCAGAAATGATATTTACTCCTACTCAAAGGACGTTTTACTTGAAGACTTAACAACACTTGCGGAAGATCCGCATTGTACTACTGTTTTCCCTTCGGTATGAAGTTATTCAACCGTTTACCTTAACAATATTACGAATTGTATCAATAATTTGTTAATCTAGGATAAAATGACCGAGGGAAAAATTGATTCCAAAGCAAAATAGTGTACGTTCTTTTCCAAATTTAAATAAGTATATTGTAATATATAATTTTGAATGCAGGCTAACTACCTCGGAAGCGTGTTATTTGTACCGGCTGTTACCTTAGAAATGGGTAAGGACTGAGTCACGGCACGTTGTTCCCCATAAGTAATCAAGTTGAAATCATTTTTGTAACAAATTTCTTAATAATATAGATATATATATTAGAATAAATAACTTAAAATCGGCATGAAATAAAACAACAGTAGAAGTACGTCTATAAATCGGTCCAAATAGTGGGGAAATACATCAGGTTAAAAAAAGGATGTTGTGTTAATAAATCCCGGCGACGATTTAACTGTGACCAATTTCAAAATGATGATAAAACGAAAATAAAATATACTAAATTTATCTGTTTCAGTTGCTGATATTCCAATGTGGACATCTATTGTTACACTGACAGTAATTGTTGTGATTTATACCGTTCTTGTAAGTACACCTCATCATCACCATGACAACTAGTGTTCTAGTGTATACCGTTCATGTAAGTACACATCATAATCACCATGACAACGACTAGTGTTCTAGTGTATACCGTTCTTGTAAGTACACCTCATCATCATCATGACGACTAGTGTAATTACACATCATCATCACCATGACAACAACTAGTGTTCTGGTGTATGCCGTTCTTGTAAGTACACCTCATAATCACCATGACAACGACTAGTGTTCTAGTGTATATAATGATTGTAAGTACACATCATCATCACCATGACAACAACTAGTGTTCTGGTGTATACCGTTCTTGTAAGTACACCTCATCATCACCATGACAACGGCTAGTGTTCTAGTGTATACCGTTTTTGTAAGTACACTTCATAATCACCATGACAACGACTAGTGTTCTAGTGTATATAATGATTGTAAGTACACATCATCATCACCATGACAACAACTAGTGTTCTGGTGTATACCGTTCTTGTAAGTACACCTCATCATCACCATGACAACGACTAGTGCTCTAGTGTATACCGTTTTTGTAAGTACACTTCATAATCACCATTACAACGACTAGTGTTCTGCTGTATATAATGATTGAATGTACACTTCATCATCACCATGACAACGACTAGTGTTCTGCTGTATATAATAATTGTAAGTACACTTCATCATCACATGGAAGGGTTTTGTTCTAGAATATCGAAAGTACAACTTGTCGTCTTTATTTTTAGTATCTGTTTGATTGATTATAGGGCGGATTCACAGCTGTGATATGGACAGACGTTTTTCAAGCAGTTCTCATGTTTGTTGCCATGTTCGCAACTCTCATCAAGGTAATGTCGATATGAACCATCGCCTTTGCTACCTTCAGTAATAGATATATTTTAAAAAGTTGTTCAGTAGGACATTTTTTTGCAGTGAAAGTAGATTGTTTTCACTTATACACATCTATTTACTTGTTTAGAATTTCGTATTAGATCTCATTTTTTTTCGGATAACATCTGTAATACAAATGTATCTTGTATGCATAATTGATGATCTAAAAATTACGTATGAAATACTACAATTTTCTGATCCGACTTTCGAATGAATTTGTAACAAGGGTACAATGGAAGCAGGTGGATTGACGAACACTTGGAGTATAGTGAATGATAAGGGAAGGTTCAACATGCTTGAGTAAGTGTTTTATCAATAGATAACATATGGTATGTACAAACAAGAACATTACGTGTTCTAATTTGTACATGCTTTCTATATTATACATATATCAAAAAGTGTAGTAGCAAATAGTCGATATGAATATAATATGACTGACAGATCGATAGAATGCCTCTCGATTATTTATCTGTCACCCAAATTGTATTATTTTAGACTGTATACTACCATCTGGTAACAGCCTTATACTTATGTATTTCAAGATGTGGTAAAGTTACATTTTATTAAATTGTCTGTATAAATACAGCTGTCATCCAAGAATGAATACCAGATTCAGGACATGTTCCGAAAGCATTTATTTACATCATTTTTGTTTATACTGGAGGATGACGAAAAGACACTTATTCTCATGTTTTATGCAGAATGCGTTACGTTTTTTGCTACGTGTCCTATAACGCTAACCACATCTTTATGAATCCTAAGTATTAAATCTCTGCCATTCAGTTTTAACCCAGATCCCACTCTACGTCAGTCCTTCTGGAGCCTTTTCATTGGTGGCATGATATACGGATTACGACTTCAGTTTAATCAAGCGACATTCCAGAGGGTCAAAGCAACTCCTACTGTGTCAACAGCGAAAAGGTAGAAGTAACCCTTCTTATGATTAACATATGATATAAATCTTTAAACTGCATTACTTAGGGTTTTGTCAAATCCGTGAATAAGATAACAAATGTCTAATATTAATGATACTGTCAGCGAATTACATTTAAAAATTTAATTTGAAATACCGAAATGTTTTGTTTGTTTTAGAATGTACCTCATTGCTGCTTTCCTGTCCATGTTCATAGCCGCATTAGCAGTAATGGAGGGAGCCATCATGTTTGCTTATTTTCAAACAAAAGGGTGCGATCCATTGGAAGCCAATCAAGTCCGAAATGAAAACCAGGTACAGACACACACGCCAATTTAGTCGGTAGCTCTAAATGGATTAAAATACATTTTGTATAATGTATACTCGTTACAATTAATGCTCTCATTCCTTGACCACACGTCTTCTGTTACACTGTTTATATATTCATGCCATGTTCTTTTATTCAATAGGATAGTGTCACGGTTCAGAAGAAAAATGTCCTCGATGTTCTTCTAAAATTATCAGACATATGAAAACTACGACGTATATTGAATTCTGGGGATAGCGCACCTCTCCATCTAGATTTTGACTTTTCTTTCGATTACTTTTCTCAGTCGCCTCCCAGACCTCCAAATTTAGGCCCTTGGCATCACTGACGAGTCCTTGAATTACGAAACAGCTGCTGTATGGTACATTTTTTAACTATAGTATGACTCGACTTTATGTATCCTAACCCTATTTTTTTTGAAAATATGTCATTAATTTGTGTGAACATTAATATAACATTTTTTTTTAAAATGTCGTTTTTTTGGTTTTGCAGTTAATAGCAATGTTGGTTAGAGACATATTTAAGAATACACCTTGTCTTCCGGGACTGTTCTTAGCGGCGCTATTCAGTGCTTCACTCAGGTAATTAAAGATATGTCATTGATTAATTCGGCAATTACGACACCAGTGTATCCTTTACTGATATATTAATATCTAGGTTCATATCGATACATTTGTGACCAGTAAGTTGGCAAATGGTTTGAAAAAACGTCACGTGCGGTCCATGTGACTACATTGTGTCATCATTGCCGGCGTCCGATTTTTTACCTGCAGGACTGCAAATTACGGATATATAAGGATATGGCACGGAAACGGAGATATTTATCATACAATGATATACTGCACTGTGCTTGTGTTTGAGGTAGTCTTACTGGATTCCAATATGAATTTTAAGCACGAAATATTCTGCAATTTTGTTCAGAATGGTTGAGAAATAGACAATAAAGAAAACGAATATCTTACACTTGTGGAAGAACGATGGAAGTTCTGAAACTTTGTTTCTAAGGAAGAGGATACTGCAGTTATACCACGAGATATAGTGAATGGGACGTTTCTTCATTTTCTGATTGGTAAGTGCAAATGGTGTTTGATTTGAATGGCCTGTAATTGTGATATGTATGAATAGATCGTGTATTTTTTCCTTGTCGATATATCATATGACTGATTTGTGTATCAATATGGTTTAGAAAAGTGTTTATTGACATGTTTCAGAGAAGAAAACAAATGATGGAGTGACGCTCTGACCAGTGATTATAGGCATCCTAAAGATTCTAAACCAAAAATTGTTCGGTTTCATCAAATACACTTTGATTCGCGTCATCGGAAGGATTTACAAGTTTCATGAGCGCGATTCCTGTCATTTTACACAGGAGAAATCAACTTTATTGTTGAATGATTTTATTTACGTTCAGAAAATGTCATTTTGTGGTCAGTCTGTAACATCTGATTTTGTTGTAAAGAATGCTAATACACAATGTAAAACGATACCATTCACGATATTTTATGTATCTGATTTCTTTTTATATGTTCATATTAAGTGAACAAAATACGAATTTGGATAGTTAAATTTAAACTGTAATAAATAATGAAAATTAGAGATTTATAAGCATTTTATAGCCTATTACCTATTTTTCCCTAGTCCCGACAATATTCACTGTTATTAGAATGGACATGGTAAATAGTTTATATTCTTTTTTGATGTTATCATTTTCTCAACAATTTTTACACAATATAATAAAATTTTCAATTAGTTAATTGTCTGTATGTACTGTTTTTAAGCTAGTTGTAAACTGACACACCCAAATCAGATGTGTATCTCTGTTAAAGCCCAGTGATGTGGCCGACACCATAGCCGATTCATCTGCTTATCATACCACTAAATTCTGTCTTTCATTTCCAACATGTGGTATGTTTTATTGTCTTGCATACATTTATAATTTTTTAAACTCCCGAAAGAAGCCAGCAAGTGAAATCAGCTGAATAAACAGTCAGTATTAAAATGTTTAAAAGAGAGAGAGAGAGAGAAAAGTATTCGTTACTTATCTTATTCTATTACACACAATAAAATGATTGGTAATATGTACTCTTAAAACGCCTTGCAATGCCGAATTGACAAGATAATTGGCGAAAAGTTGTGTTAATCAGCTGGCGCTGGACAAATATCAGTGGCACTGCGACCTGATTGAATACCGCAGAATAAACTCTTCATCTTTAATCAAATATTAAAAAGATAACAATTACACCTAAGTACATGTCGCTTTCTTTAGATCAAACACAGAAATTTCTTCCGTTCCGGTCCCATCTTCCAACAGACATAGACCTCTAATTTTATTAGCCTATCTTTATATATCAATTAGCTGAAGCTGCACCATCAAACGACTGGTCATTATTACATTTCGCAAGTGTAGGTAAAAAACATAACTTGTTTCAATCACCAGAGGGGAATTAATTCGATTTTGTTTCCAACCCAAACCAAAAAAATAAATGTTTCAGACAACGCGATACTGATTTGTTGCGATAATCGTACTCGCAACATATATTAGGTCCGCTGAATCTCAAGTGACTTATTGCAATCGCCCTTTGTCCGTCGCCACGCATCCATACACTAAAGACAATTTCAACTTCTTTTCAAATAGCATGAATCGATTTTGATGACACTGGAGAAATCTTCCATGGCCAAAGATGAATTGAATTCGTAAATTACATAGTCTTTACCCCACAGGGGATCTGAGGTAGTCACGTTTACTAAGATCTATACAGGAAAATATTTTGAGCGTAACTTGTTTTCGACTGCAAAATAATGAAAATTTATTTAGATCTATTAGTATAAACTGATAATGACCCCTAGGTCTTGTTGAGCTGAACCAAGAGGTTGAATTGACTTAAATTACAAAAAAATGCACATATTAAGACCCACCGTTAAGTTAATACAATAAAATAGATTTTTAGATGCTTTACTGAAATTCATGCTCCATGACCTTACTTTATTCCCTAGGGAGCAGTTATATTTTACTGTTAGTTTTACAGGAAACTTTCAGTTTTGGAAACATAATTTTATTATTTCGCATGGGAAAATATACAGCTTTGTCAGAACTATTAACATAGGATGCATTTGCTGTTTTGAACACTTAAAATTTGAAATACATATACGACGTCGTTTAAGTTAATTCACTTTGTTCATAAGATGACTTATGACCTATGAATCTCTTGTAATTCATTGTTTCTCTGTGGAGGCAGATATACCTTCAGATGTCAAGTGAGAGAAGTTATTGAAAGGTTCAAAATAGTCCATGTCATTTATGGTAAACTTCTGTAGGGACGTGTTTTATTTCATACTAACACCATTTACTTGTAGTACCATGTCATCAGTATTAAGTGCGATGTCGGCCATGTTCTGGGAGGATATCGTGAAACCACACACCAAACCCATGTCTGACCAACGAGCAATACGAATTGCACAATTTTCAGGTGAATTCTTTGATAATGTCTTCATGGTACTTTATTTTGAGGTTTTATGTTCTTGAGAACTGAAATAAGATATTTCAAATTTCGAATATTTTTCTAATTGTGAACTGATAAAAATGCATTATAAATTACTCACGAAACGAATTTATATATCATTATGTAATATAAGGAACACATTTTAAACATTTATTTTTATGTATAAGTAGAAATGATAATATACTCTTCAAAGTGGTCACCGCTAGAGAAGATGTCCATTTTCCGATAGATTTGATCATAGTACAAAATTTACATTTTCTGTTTCTAATTAAATACTATATTCCACTGACTTCCAAAAAATGCCTAATTACATCAATAATGAAGGAAGTCCTCATCTGATCAAACTTGTCAGACATGGTAAAAACAAAATCATCCGCATTCTTCTGGATTCTTGTTAAGTACTGATGTTGGATAGGTAAAGTACTGCAGTCTCTCTAAGTATAAAATTTCAGTGCTTGCAATAACATGGAGATATTTGCAAGATATCTACGTTTGCTTATGATCCAGTTATGTGAGAAATTGAAAAAAAAATGAATTAATCTCGCCCGGTAAATTATTTTACCACAGTTGGCGCACTCTTCGTTTGCTGTAGCCTAGATTTTAATACACATCGTCAGTGTTCAACATAAGAAAGTATTCCCGTGGCCAATCTTAACACTCCATCGTCCAATATGGTAAAGAAAAAAAGAACAGAGATCAATTTGAAAATTGAAAGTTCGCATATATGTTATATATGAGCGGTGAACACTTTTAACGTTGTTTTCATTTTTTCTACATAAGTATGATAGGTCAAGAGTTAACGTTTTACTTATCATTTTCAGTGCTACTGTTTGGTGTATTGGCAGTAGTCATTGCCTTCGGTATATCTGGTATCGACGGACCTGTGTCCCAGGTATGTAATGTTACCATTTTTAGATGAAGACCTCCAAGAAAAATCTCATCTCACATTGATATGTATTGATGCATTTCTTATGAAACATTTTGATATATTATAATAAGAGTCGAGTTGTTATGCATTATCTCTGGCTTTGTGATTAAAATCAATAAGTTTTTTTGACAAATATTTTCGAACAATAAAACAAATGTAAAAAAATCTGATTGTCAAGGATTGTTTGTAGTTGTACATATCGGGAAATGGTGTATGTCAGATATAATCAGCTGTTGTACGCAGGTATAATGCGATTTCGATATTTTTCTTTATCACTTTAGAATATCTTGTCGTGTCTTCGGTTTACTATGTAGGCCCTAAACCATCACTGGCGAGTCCTAGAAGGACGAAACAGCTGTAGGATGCAGCAACACTGACGAGTCCTAGAAGGAGGAAAGAGCTGTTTCTATTCTAACTCAAAATTGTACTAAATGATACTATTCGCGTATATGTCTTATGTACAGTTTTTAGGTTTCACAAACTGACAGGTATTTTCTCCGGCCGAAGCTTTCTTGGGGAATGTATAGAACGTTACGTTACCGTTGTGTATTAATGTGCAAATTCTGTTACACAAGAATAGAATATTATTGTCGGTCCACAATATCTTTATCAGATGTAAGCGTCTGGATTTATAGATAGTTACTTCTCCTTGCTAAGCAGTAGTGTATAGACGATATTGAAGTAGAGCTGTTGTTAAGACTGTGATGAATTTCGACGGTCTTAGTCTAGATCTTATGAGGAAATGTTGTATTTCATTCTGATATGCAGTGAGATTTGTTGTATGTCAGGTGGTTTCTTGTTGTTTAAGTTATTCTCAAAAGGGACATGCCATTACTTGGATTAACTACGTTTTACATGACAGATGTGGTCAGTGAAGCAAAAGATGTTAATATTTAAAAATATCGGTTATTATTCCCATAGTACTTTATCATGAGTCTGTTTGTTAATAACACATTGTTGATATTTTGCTCTCGCTATGTCGATTCTGAGTTCGAATTACCAAACCGTTTGTTGTTAAAGTATCTTCTTCCTTGTATTTCGTACTCGTTCTTGCTGGTATTGATAAACATATTTTTATATCATCTTAACCAAACCAATAATCTGTAACAGGACTTCACAATAACGACAATCACAAAACAGAACGATAAAATAGTAATTGCATAAGAAATGTTTAACGGAAACTGTTAACTGTCAATAATAATGAAACAACATTGTTAAATTGTATATCTATGGAACCTGCTCATATATAAATGATTGCTTACGATATTTGTTAATGTCAATTCATTAATGTCGATACATTTCTCTACAGATATTGGATACTACCGGATCATGTCTGGAAGGTGCCATCGCTGGACTGTTTATACTAGGGTGGTTTAATCCGAAAGCTAATGTAAAGGTAAGTTGTACATACGATTTATCGGAATGATCACTTAAAGACTGGTTTAGGAATATATATGCATAAATGAGCAATATAGTAGAATTAAAAAATAATCATATTTTTTTAAAAAAAATAAAGCAATTATATCACATGATGAAAAAGAAAGATGACAATTGTGATTCCTTAAGAATCATTTTTTATCTTAAACTTCTGATTAATTTAATTGAATTTTTTTACTGCAGTGAAATGTTTTTATTGTATACACACATAAATATAGTTAAAACTTCATAACTTACGTACTGTAATGAAAGGATGTTTCATTTCTTCTTTGCTTCTTCTTTGACTGGTGACTAGCTTTGCCTTGAAATGTCTGGAATTAGTAGTTAAAATGTAATGGGAAATTCTGAACTGGAGCCACTGTAGTCTAGTATTTTTCGTTACCTTAAACGGCATTTTGTAGAAAGCTTCTCTGTCTTAAAATATGGATATAAAATAGAATTATAGGCCGCACAACAGTATTCTCTATGAATAGTTTATCAGACAAAACTTTTGACTTAAGATATGCTCCCTTGATATTTATAAAAAGAAATATTGGTCACATTGTATGCCTGCAAACAATCCAGGAGCCTTAGAAAATTATCTATGTTACCATCCTCTAGCTTGTCTGATATAGTTCTTACACCTCTGCTGTTTTCCGGATATAGATATATTCCTATTGAACCATATAGGTATTTCCAACAATGACTTTTCCATTCTAATACTCATTTCTTTTAAAATCTGTAATGTATACCACGCTCTAAAACATCTTTCTAGGATTTATTATTAGTAATTTTGACATTTTTGTACATACCCACATCCAACATTTAGTAGGACATCAATGTTTACACAAGTCTTTAATATTGAGGACCACTTACCTGATGTATGATATAGTCTTCTAGCCCAACTCAGTTTCAATTCATCTGCAAAAGCCCTTATATTGACCATTTTAAATCCACCATTCATATACTCTTGCACAACAGTATTTCATTTAATTTTATCTACTAAGTATATTTTTCCTATTGCTCCATTCCTCTAAATTTGATTATTCTGAACTTATGCATGTATTACAGATTTGAAATTAATGCAAGAAAATGTTATTCATGATGCTTAATAGCCTTAAAGTCTTAAAACATTATAAATTGATATTCATATTATCACAGGGTGCAATAGTCGGCGCAGTGGTGTGCGTCCTTGTTGTGGGTTGGATATCATTCGGAAAGTTGATTTCGGCAGGAGCACGTCTAAATCCAAAATTAGAGCCGGCTTCAACAGAAAACTGTGCAATGTTCAACACATCAGGAATCATTAATTCAACTACCTATCAATATATATCAGCGGGGACAATGTTAAATGATTCAAAAATTGTAGTAGAAGTTACCCCTACACCAGTTCATTACGGACCGTAAGTTATAACAATATTAATCATGTATTATTTCAAAATATTATGATTGAAAATTTAGCGAATCACAACTAGTGTTGTCACTGATTTTTTATGAAAATGTATATGCATAGGTATTACTAATAATATACATAGATGTTTTATACTCGTTATAAGTCTTCGCACGTGCTTTAACTGTCACGAACTACACATAATTTCTACATATTCTATGTAGGTATAATTTACTCAATATATATTTTACACGTAACTCAATATAAAATACTTTTTTTAATTTACAGAAGAGACCAAGATTTAACTTACACAGTCGATCTTTTGTGTCAATATTCGATAAGTTACTTACTCTGCACGGTACATAATTTGTATCGATTAACAGTCCAGATAAATTTTCATTTTATCAACATTGTATTTTCTGGACAAGGTATAGATATTCTGTGCTCGGTACATATTTTGCATCAACAGACGAGGCCTAAATCAAATTTCACATAATCATCATTGTATTTTAATGCAAGATCTAGATAAACTGTACTCGACACACATTTTGTATGAACACAAGAGCCTAACTAAAATGTCACCTTATAATTGTCATATTTTCAGGCAAGGTCCGAATAGATTATACTCGATACATATTTGTGTATCAATAGACGAGATCTCTATAACATTTCACCTGATCATTATTATATTTTCAGTCAAGGTCTGGATATATTGTACTCTCTATCCTATAAATGGCTGGCGCCACTCGGTATCTGTTTGGTGCTTGTGATTGGATCATTTGTTAGTCGTCTACAAGGTAAGTTAAAATAATGTACTTTATTGAAATTTAAAAAAGAAAATGAATGTATCTCCTTAACGCAACTAACATGAATCTATACTTCGTTAAGACACCGTTTGATACAGGTAATTCTGTTTTCAGCAGCTCAGAAACCTGTCGACTCGGCATTGGTTGTACCATTATATGACTACCTCATGCGTTGCTGTATCTTCAATTCATGTAGAAAATCTCAGCGTGGAAATACGTATACAGGGTCAGAAAAGGTAGGTATTCATTGAAACTGCATTCAAGATAAACATTTTATCTTTTGTTTAAGGTAATAAATGTGATAAAGAGTATTTGTGTCTAATTTGTCAGCACAGTCGCGAAACATATAAAATATAATGATATAACAATAATTTTAAGATAATGTTTAGAATATATATACGTTAATGTTAACATAAGATTGCATGTACATTACAGCAGAAATAAGGTCACAGATACAGGAAAATATTGACTTCTTTTTCTGTTCATGTACGTGTTAATATCTCTACTATATCAGATTGTTTTAATGACAGTTACATGATTACATACTATCTAAAGTATCGTATAAGATGCACTCTTATGAAATCAAACAGGAATTGCGTTACTAAATAGCAGTATTATAACGCCTTTTCTGGGTCGAAATTCTCCTGTCTTTTTAGGACTGATATTTAAGACATTTCCATTTATTTCCTGACTAATACAAGTAGTGTAGTTTCTGCTTATATGGTAATTCCAAGACAGTTTCCTTGTGTGTGCGTGGGAAATTCATTCATGTTTGGGAAAAGCCTGTGACATGTTCATGTAAGTAAGAAGCTGAATACCACGTTATAGTGCTTCTACATTGCATTACACTGCCAACAGTTCCCACTTAATGACATTATACTAACAACAGGCATGCCACTTATAGCCGTATTACAAGACTGAGTGCTATTTAGCCGTTTAAAAAAGAATCGGATGTGTCTCGGTTATAAAACACCACCCAAAGTCTTCCTCAAAATGACAAATAATTATTTAAAGTCTTAGTGAGGTAGAGTTAACGGAATCAGTAGAAATAGTAGTTTAGAAAGAAACAAAAGTTCAGATATGATATATAACAAGCGTAAATCATAAGACTTACTTATTCAGAAGCCTGTTTGTATCAACCTATCAAATAATACGCCTTATTTATACAGAAGCCTGATGTTTGTATCAGCCTTGTCCAATCATACGCCTTACTTATACAGAAGCCTGATGTTTGTATCAGCCTTGTCCAATCATACGCCTTACTTATACAGAAACATGTTGGTTGTATCAGCCTTGTCCAATCATACGCCTTACTTATACAGAAGCCTGATGTTTGTATCAGCCTTGTCCAATCATACGCCTTACTTATACAGAAACATGTTTGATGTATCCACCTATATAATAATACGCCTTACTTATACAGAAACATGTTTGATGTATAAACCTTGTCCAATAATAGGCCTTATTCATACAGAAGCATGATGTTTGTATCAACCTATATCATAATATGCCTTACTTATACAGAAGCCTGATGTTTGTATCAGCCTTGTCCAATCATACGCCTTACTTATACAGAAACATGTTTGATGTATCCACCTATATAATAATACGCCTTACTTATACAGAAACATGTTTGATGTATAAACCTTGTCCAATAATACGCCTTATTCATACAGAAGCATGATGTTTGTATCAGCTTATATAATAATACGCCTTACTTATACGGAAACATGTTGTTTGTATCAACCTATATCATAATATGCCTTACTTATACAGAAGCCTGATGGTTGTATCAGCTTTGTCCAATAATACGCCTTATTCATACAGAAACATGTTGTTTGTATCAACCTTGTCCAATAATACGCCTTACTTATACAGAAACATCTTTGATGTATCATCCTTGCCCAATAATATGTCAACAGATTTGAGTAAAACCAATTTCCCCCTCTATATTTAGTGTTTTTGCCTTGAGTTGATCGATTTGTATTTTTGTAACAGGTAATAACGGAAGATGAAGCTGAAACAATGGTTGAGATGGTACCAGATACAGAAGTAATCAATAGAAGATAACCATACTTATTATTTTGTCTATTTCTTTTTAATTAGTCTTATTTATTTTTTTAATTAGTCTTATTTATTTTTTTAATTAGTCTTATTTATTTTTTTAATTAGTCTTATTTATTTTTTGAAATATTTATTTCAAAGCGTGTTTAAATTTATACATGTACCTCATTTCTCTTGTCTTTCATTTTGATGTTATCTCAAGCGATTTTCTTTTTTCTTTCTTTTTATATGCAAGCTGATATAACAATCATAAGTATCACATAAACTACAGCGAGACCTCGATGTCAAAACCATATTGAGGACTCGGTATATCATCAATGGCGAGGAGCAGATAAACTGCCAAGGGCCGTAACTCTGTTGAACTCAATATTTATACGGTATACTTTATAAAAAAGTATTCTGCACATCTCCATGTTAAGGTTACTAATTATATTGACAAACATTCTAAGTTTATTTGTATAATTGTTATACATCATACAACCAACATCACATCTCTTTCTGTCACATACGTTTCAGTCGATGAATTAAAAGAATTATACATTATGATAATAATAAATAAGTATTCCTACACTTAGGCCGTTTTCATTTATTGATTGCATTGAAACGTAGTTTAATGTATATTTATTTCTTTCTGTGTGATATATATCCAATTGCATGTCGTATGAGACGAATAAATTTGTGATCCCATTTTAGACTTGATCTTAAATTGTCTTATTATGAATTTTGGATACTGAAGACACAAACAGTGAGTGTATCCCACTGGTAACGATCGAACCAGAGCACTGCCTTTGGGCTCCCAGCAGATTTGAGGTTTACTATTCCAGCCAATAAATTAAAACATATTTTCCTGTTAATATTAGAATCTTTATCCTTCCATTCTTCTCCTGTCTTCCCTGTCATTCTTTGCCTTGTTGTCTGCCGTTGTAATCTCAATGGACACAGATTATCAATTTACGAGGTCGAAAAATGATAAAAAAAGTCACTCGAACAAAAATAAACCATAAATAATTCTATTTTATTTCATGACAATTTCTCATTGCACATTTAGTAGGTTGATTTATAGTGTCTGTAAACGTCTGTGTAAGGCACTTAACGACACAGATGATATTTTATCAACACCGAAACTTATTATCACGATAAAAGTTAACGTCTAATTAGACTAAGAGTCACCTTTTTATCCCACAGACAGTAATTGTTAATATGTGAGACCATCCGTCGATCACGTTTGACGTATGTGTAAATAATACATACTGACTTCATAGCATGGCGACATCGAACTATAGATTTAATTTATGATGATTGAAGATGTCGCTTCGATTTTATAATCAACCCAATCAATCCCTTTTGTTGCAACATATACGTATATATTTCTAGTACCCCCTTTAATAGTTTTAGTATGACCATGACTTTACCTATCTTGTTGTCATTGATTTGTCGACATCCAAATTTCAATGAGGTTTCATCCATTTATTTATGGATGGTGAATGGCATTTCATTCATAAAGATATTTTACACTGTACATTGTAGCTCTACTGTATGGGATGCAATTACAAGAAATAATTTCACAAGAAAAATATTTTTCCATAGTTTTAAGAAAGTTTTACTATTGCCATTTTTTCTCTTCCGCCGAATCGAACAAAAAAATAAAAAGAAGAAAAACCCCACTAAGTTCCGTTCAGTGTTTTCTTCCTTTTGGAAGGAACACAATATCAAATAAATGCCTTAGTTCAAAAGATACGGTCTTTGAAAAAACAAAATAATAAAATGAACAAAAACAAAACATAGAAAATACCGATAATGTCAGCGGATCTTTATAAATGCAAATTCTTTGTCACAGGACAAAATATAAATGAAAGAAAGATTTATACGGAAATCCATGCAAAAGGGACATAGAGATTTGCATAAGACTGGATGTTTCGAAAGGGAATGTGTGCTTCATTAACCTGATCCGCCTTGTAAATTTAGGCCGAAGCTACATAGAATTTGTATCATATTTATCATTGTCTTCTAACAACATCGTTACACTGCATATCATTATCCTAAGAAGATAATATAGGTAATATCCCTATGTATGCAGAAAAACAAGTCCTGGTCTTAGCTTACAATTAAAACTTGATTGTGTAAATATGCGGCTACCGCGATTCAGCAAAACAGACGAACACTTATGGGCATATTGTCATTAGCTTTTAGGTGTAGACGTTCTGGGTGAATAGACCTGCCAAAGTTAAGAGTGGCATAATCTTAGATGAATGTGTACTACTTATACATATTGCAGTGACCAGACGCTCGAGGGTTTGCTTGAAAAATATCCATATTAAAACAGAATCATAATGTAAACCGAAACTCAATAAAACTACACCAAATAAGAATATAAAAACAAAACAGTAAGCGCCTTCTTCTTCATCGACGACACCAGCCATGTTAATCTTGGCCAGTCCTAGCAAGTATTACGTACCCAAACAGCCACGGAACCACTCATTAACCTGACGAGCGGAAAACACATTCAGCTTCATATGACAACAATATTATGACGACCCTTTAAATTTTTCATAAGCAAGCTTGTCTCGAAACCATCGTGATATTGAGAGCAAGTCTTTGAATATCGAATCTAATGCAAGATATTTACGCCATAGGTCGGTGATACAGACTCTCCAGAAATGGAAATAAATACAGAGAATTTAAGACATCATGCAGCTTGGTAAATAGCTGTTCTTGCGTTAAAAAGATTGAGGTAAAAAAGGTAAAGGATAACATGGGATAGATGTGTCCCATCTGATGCAGTAAGGTACCATTAATATAACCACATTCAAAATGTGTTTATCATGACGTCACAACCAAAAGCCCGTCTAAACACTGCCTGCATGCTCATGACATAAGTGTCGTCAGCAACTGATTCGTTCTCATGAACAAACTAAACGTTTACATCAGCGCGTTAGGAAAAGGTTAAAGTGTGATTTACCGTGCATTATGATGTGTTCATTATTTTAGCGACTTACGATTGTGCTTTATTAAGCAATGTAGATATAAATTCAGCAAGGTTTATTTTTTCACATCATCCACATAAAGAAGTATTGAATTGGTGCTACAGCTCAAAGAGCTGCATAAACAGATGTAAAATGAAAGGCCTATCAGAACCCATTCACAGAATTTACAAAGTCATGCATTGTAACAGCCACGAAACCTCACAAGACAAGAAATAAAGATAAAACACTGAAAGAGAACGTCGCATAATATTGAAACAAAATCGGATGCAAGGGCAAAAATACATTAGATCAGAGCGAAAACATTCTTAGTCCCATAAAAATCAAACGGCACTAACAGATTATTCCACACATAAAATCATATCATCAAATAGTAAAATTCCAAAGTAGTCTGCAAGGAAAACAACCTGTTCAGGCAGAAGGAAAGCATCGAAATACGCTGCAGTGGTGCGGTACTAAACAAGAACGATAGGGCCACAGATTCTCGCACGTCTGCTAACAAGCGTAGCCGAATTGACTACAGCATATTGTTACCATATTGTGTATTTTTGTCTATAATCTGTTGACCATTTCGTCAAACTATTTTCAGCCTTAGTGTTGACAATATTACAGAACAGCCCAAAAGTTGGTAAGTCCCTTACCATCTCATTCACTGCGTACGTCGCAATAAATTACCTTTCCTATACATCAATCACCGAAAATGAAATCCTCCTCCTTATCCTGTTTTTTTCACTGATATTTGATCCACAATATAAAACCTTGTTTCAAAACAAACCAAAGACCATTCCACCATTCGGTATTCGGATTTCCGTTCTTTTACAAAACATAAATATTGATATTGACCAAATTCAGCCATTTGGAACGATAGAAATTCCACCCTGGCTCTTAAATTCACCAGAAGTTGACTTTTCACTTCATGAAATGGTTAAATCAGACACTGACAGTTACACCTTTTCGTTCATCCTTCTCGAAATTGCAGTTAATATATATCAAACATTTCTATATTCATATACTAATGGTTAAAAAGATAATGTTAAGGTTGCCTCGGCCATGGTTACACAAGATGAAACCTATGGATGCCGGCTACCGAACAACGCCGCAATATTCTCGGCGAAGCGCGAGCTATCTACCTCGCCCTTGAACATATTCAAACAAAGTGATGAGAGCTGTTATCTATTCAGAATCTCTTTATTTACTTCAAAGTCTTAGCAATAGAAATATCAAAAATATTTTCATTCGTAATATCTTAATACTATATCATGAACTTGCCTTTAACTTTCGTATTGCTTTTTGCTGGGTTTTGGGCACATGGGAATACCAGGCAATGAAAAAACAGATCATGTCATAGCTTTATCGCTACCACCTGTTGTTTTTAAACTTCATTTTACCGATTTTTTTACCATTTATCAAACATTTTTTGGCAGCAGGAATGGAATCAATATACCAATAATAAATTGCATTCCGTACAACCTATCACCGGTGAATGGTCTCCATGCTATAGAGACAACCACCGAGACGAAGTGATCCTTACCCGTCTTCGGATAGGTCGTACATACCTTACACATTCATATATGTTGAAAAGCGAAGACAATCCTCGATGCTTAGGATGTGATGAGCTATTCACCTTTAAACAATTTTATTGGACTGCACTGACCCACTGTCTACTCGAGACTTTTTTTATCGTAATATTACAAGTCTAAAGACCTTTTTTGAAACTGTTTAGATAAATAAAATTCTATGTTATCTGAACGATGTTGGTGTATAAAATAGACTATGGCGTACTATTTTAATATCTTATGATAATAGACCCATTTAAGATTTTATCATTTATCTATTACCTTTTAGTTAGTTTGTTGTTATTTCCTTTTAGGATCGCTGTGTGTTTCACCAGTTGATGGCTCTAATGACATTTTATGTGTTGACGGGCCGTTCAAACTGTAATAATAATAATAATGATTATAGAATAAATAACAACTCACTTTTCCCCTTGTCGGGAGTTACAACCTTTGTGACTATAATACATATATATGGTCCGTGGGTGGTGAACTCGTGCCAAGTCCCTGATTGCTACCTGGTCATTCTTACCTTGATTATTCGAACTTGTATGAACCAGATTAACCGATGGTAAGATCTTACGAGTCCCGTTTACACCGTTCACGGTTGTCATGGTTACACTTTATTTCATCAGACAACGTGCTGGATATAAACATTTTAGGCTAGAGGTAAACCATCCGGCTATTACTTGAGATGGTAATGGGCTTATTATAAAAGTGTTATTATTATCACATCCTGAGATCGATTTTAGATGTTATAATCACTTGATTGTTTGAAATGAGAGAAAGAAGAAAAAATAATATTGAATCTACAGGTTAGTAGTGTAGTTAAACTATCGTAACTTAAATACATCTGTAATTTTTGACCTTATACCAGTTAGAGATAAAAAAAACCCTTCTTAATTTATTTAGTTGGTATTTCGTACCAGTGATGCTGTGAAATGTGTTTTTTTCTTTTCCTTTTCTTTAAACAGTTTTTCTGTCCCCACCAAATAATCCAAATGATAAATGTTTACTTTTATATTAAGTGGCAAATTTTAAGATTAATGAGAGCGCTAAAACATTCCTAACGATGTAAGAAATGATCGGGAACAAAAGGAATGTTTTCCTAATAATTAGACTAATAAACATGTAGATAATTGATGGAAACATGTTTTCTATCTTATTAGAATGGTGCATTAAAGGGTGTATACGTACATATTAGGTTTATCATCAAGGTCTTTTCGCTGCAATAGGTCCTCAACTTTAAGAGTTCATACAATCTCATCTACCAATCAAAGTTTTATAATAATGGACAATAAACAGAATAGTTTCATTAATGTTAAAAGAAAAAATACCAGGACATGAATGAATATCCGGCTCGGCGTCTCCATTATCCGGATCAGTTTATTATATTAGAATCGTCTCTATAACTTCCTGCACGCCCAAGAAAAATATTCTTGCTGTTGGTTACAAACATTTTGGTAAGTCTTAATTCTTTTCGAATTTAGCGGTGTTCTTAGATAATGATACTACTTAATAGAGACGTGCAGACAACGTACAAACTATAGTTTTTAATCCTACATGTAAAATAAAACCATCTGATCTGAACCCCGCGACAAATATATCACCCAAGATATTAAGTTAAGTTAAGTTTATTTCTGGTACAGGCTCGATTTTTCGACCCTCTACACCAGACTCCAACCATAATACATATATATACATGTATACACAAATATATACATTTGAATACAATGTTCATAAATATGTGTTTCCACATCTCATCAATAAATGTTAGTTAGATTATCATAATTGTTATATTGCGTTTGTTTTATCGGTTCCAAGTACAATGAAGCAACATTTTTTTTTCCTAAATAATTGAAGCTTTATAATTATAAACAAGTTCTTGAGAAGCCCAATGTTTATCCAGTCTATTTTTAAAAGTGTTAATATTTGGTGGTGATACTATATTCTCAGGTAAATTGTTCCATACATTGACCACTCGTTGGGAGAAGAAGTTCTTTCTAACGTTTGTTCTGGATCTCTCTGGGAATATCTTTCTAGAGTTTCCTCTGCTGCTGTTTTTCGCTGCTGCGCTGTTCCATGGTTTTAAGATGCTGTTGGTATCCTGATCATATATTCCGCTAATAATCTTGTAAGCCTCGATCATATCTCCTCTTATGCGTCGATATGCAAGCGTTGGAAGGTTTAATTTAACTAGCCTTTCCGGGTAGGATATATCCTTCATTCCTGGCAGTTGCTTAGTTGATCTTCTCTGGACACTTTCCAGCTTTTCAATATCCTTCATTTTGTAAGGCGACCAAACAGAACTGGCAAAGTCCAAATGAATCCTTACTAATGACTTGTATAATGGTATGAATGTCTGTTTGTTCATGTATTCAAAAGTTCTCCTAAGCATGGCGAACATGGAATTGGCCTTGTTTACTTTTTCACTTAAATGATCTTCAAATGTGAGCTTATGATCTACTGTGATACCGATGTCTTTTTCTTTATTTGTTTGTATTAATTCCTGGTTGTTGATTGTATATGATGTTGATTCTTCCTTATCCATAGTTCCAATGCGCATATGTTTACATTTTTGTGGATGTACTTGCAAAAGCCATCTTTTGCTCCATTCTTCCATGCTCTGTAAGTCTTTTTGGAGAATTGCCTTATCTTCTTCATTTTCTATGATCCTAAATATTTTCGTATCATCCGCAAATAGAAACATGCACGAATTGACCGAGTCCGGTAGATCATTTACAAACATGACAAAGAGGATTGGTCCTAGGACGGATCCTTGTGGTATACCCGATGACACTCTAGTCCATTCTGAATGTTCACCATTTACAGTTACCCTTTGCATTCGGTTGTTCAGGAAGCTATTGATCCAGTTTAAAATTTGGTTTGAGAATTTGTATGCCTTAAGTTTACTCAATAGTCTATTATGGGGGACAGTATCAAAAGCCTTTTTAAAATCCAAATAAATACAATCTATTGAACGGCCTGTATCCAAAGCTTCTGTCCATTTATCCAAAACTTCAAGCATCTGCAATGAAATAGATCTCCCTGCCAAGAATCCAAATTGTTGTGGTGTGAACATATAATAATTAATATAATAATATTAATAATTGGATTTATAAATATCGTATGTTTAGGGTGAAAAATTACATATAGAATGTTTTCTTTCATTGAACTAACAATGCATTGATCAAATATGGCAGTTATTGTTGTTTACTTGAAGAAGTGAGTCACGAAACTATAAAACCTATAGAAAGCGAAAGTGAAAGTACATGTACGTTGTTATTCCGTGAAATTACTCCAGATTTTCGCAAAACATTTTACTGAACGTGATATCGTTATCATAATACCTATTTAAAAGATAGTCTGAAATAAATCGTCGTGTAAATAGAAAATTGAACTGAGTACAAAATATTACATTCTTTTGAACTGTGCATACATATACTAGATGTATATATACATATTATTAACTTTATTCATAATATTGTTATCTACTAAAAAGTTAAAAATATTTTGTAAAAACTCCACATCTTCAGACAAACGAGAGATCAGTAGCGATACCGGAAACATTTCTTTCACTATCTATTCTTGAAAATTATCACCTGCAGAATATGACGAAAATCTGTTGATGCATATACTTTACTACATATGTGTAAATAGATCTGTAATTTGTAACTGCTGGACTACATAGCTTTCATTTCTTATTCTTGAAACAAAATAGAATTGTGCCATTTTTTTTGTAAAGGGTTTTTATTCTGACTTGAATGAAACTGGTTATTTTAGAACATGGCTGTCAATGTTGCATTGCTCTTTTCTATGTTAATGAATTAGGGCATTATAGAGGCCTTTTCCTTCTAAGTACAGTCTCAAGCTACCTCTAACTGTCTTAACTGTCTTATAAGTGACAGTTCAAAAGAATGTCATTTATAAGACAGAAGCAGATACCACACAGGGTACTTACAGGTAACATACTGGACAGTTACAGGTAAAATACAGAACAGTTATAGGTAACACACAGGACAGTTACAGGTAACATACAGGACAGTTGTAGGTAACATATAGGACAGTTACAGGTAACATATAGGCAGTTAGAGGAAACATACAGGACAGTTACAAGTAACATACAGTACAGTTATAGGTAACATACAGGACAGTTACAGGTAACATGTAGGACAGTTACAGGTAACATGTAGGACAGTTACAGGTAACATATAGGACAGTTACAGGTAACATACAGGACAGTTGTAGGTAACATATAGGACAGTTACAGGTAACATATAGGCAGTTAGAGGAAACATACAGGACAGTTACAAGTAACATACAGTACAGTTATAGGTAACATACAGGACAGTTACAGGTAACATATCGGACAGTTACAGGTAACATGTAGGACAGTTATAGGTAACATATAGGACAGTTACAGGTAACATACAGGACAGTTACAGGTAACATATAGGACAGTTACAGGTAACATATAGGACAGTTACAGGTAACAAACGGGACAGTTACAGGTAACATATAGAACAGTTACAGGTAACATACAGAACAATTACAGGTAACACATAGAACAATTAAAGGTAACATATAGAACTGAAACAGGTAACATCAAATAGTTACAGGTAACATATAGGCAGTTAGAGGAAACATACAGGACAGTTACAAGTAACATACAGTACAGTTATAGGTAACATACAGGACAGTTACAGGTAACATAAAGGACAGTTACAGGTAACATACAGGACAGTTACAGGTAACATATAGGACAGTTACAGGTAACATACAGTACAGTTACAGGTAACATATAGAACAGTTACAGGTAACATAGAGAACAATTAAAGGTAACATATAGAACTGAAACAGGTAACATTAAGAATAGTTACAGGTAACATATAGGCAGTTAGAGGAAACACACAGGACAGTTACAGGTAACATATAGGACAGTTACAGGTAACAAACAGGACAGTTGAAAGTAACATATAGGACAGTTACAGGTAACAAACAGGACAGTTATAGGTAACATAAAGGACAGTTATAGGTAACATAAAGGACAGTTATAGGTAACATACCGGACAGTTACAGGTAACATACAGTACAGTTACAGGTAACATATAGGACAGTTACAGGTATCATATATAACAGTTACATGTAACATATAGGCAGTTACAAATAACATATAGAACAGTCACTGGTAACATACAGGACAGTTATAGGTAACATACAGGACAGTTACAGGTAACATACAGGACAGTTATAGGTAACATAAAGGACAGTTACATGTAACATATAGGACAGTTACAGGTAACATGTAGGACAGTTACAGGTAACATGTAGGACAGTTACAGGTAACATAAAGAACATTTACAGGTAACATATAGAACAGTTACAGGTAACATATAGTTACAGGTAACATATAGAACTGAAACAGGTAATATTAAGAATAGTTACAGGCAACATATAGGCAGTTAGAGGAAACATACAGGACAGTTACAAGTAACATATATGACAGTTAAAGGTAGCATGTAGGACAGTTACAGGTAACATATAGGACAGTTACAGGTAACATATAGGACAGTTACAGGTAACATATAGGACAGTTACAGGTAACAAACAGGACAGTTACAGGTAACATACAGGACAGTTACAGGTAACATATAGGACAGTTACAGGTAACATATAGGACAGTTACAGGTAACAAACAGGACAGTTATAGGTAACATAAAGGACAGTTACAGGTAACATACAGGACAGTTATAGGTAACATAAAGGACAGTTACAGGTAACATACCGGACAGTTACAGGTAACATACAGTACAGTTACAGGTAACATATAGGACAGTTACAGGTATCATATATAACAGTTACATGTAACATATAGGCAGTTACAGATAACATATAGAACAGTTACAGGTAACATACAGTACAGTTATAGGTAACATACAGGACAGTTACAGGTAACATACAGGACAGTTATAGGTAACATAAAGGACAGTTACAGGTAACATACAGGACAGTTATAGGTAACATACAGTACAGTTATAGGTAACATAAAGGACAGTTACAGGTAACATATAGAACAGTTACAGGTAACATACAGGATAGTTACAGGTAACATATAGGACAGTTACAATTAACATAAAGAACAGTTGCAGGTAACATACAGGACAGTTAAAGGTAACATACAGGACAGTTATATGTAACATAAAGGACAGTTACAGGTAACATACAGGACAGTTATATATAACATACAGGACAGTTATAGGTAACATACAGGACAGTTACAGGTAACATATAGGGCAGTTACAGGTAACATACAGGACAGTTACAGGTAACATACAGTACAGTTATAGGTAAAATACAGTACAGTTACAGGTAACATATAGATTAGTTACAGGCAACATACAGGACACATAACACACATAAAACTGCAAAATGCATTATTTCATCTTCAGTATACATAAAATAAAGGACTGAGATCGATATCAAAGTCAATGATGAAATCAAGCATTTATCTGTCCTGATATCATCTGAGCCTTGAAAGTAAGATATATTTCATCAGCTATTACTTATAATTTACAAATGTTTTAGCAATGTAATGGCCCTTTATGTCAAGGTTTAGTTCCCTCAGAATAGTGCCTCCGCTAAAGATGCTAATTCATCACGTTTTTATCTCGTGTGAATTTTGAGATTATACATTGCATTATATTAAATACAATCCTGCAGTATATCATATTCAAATGAATTGAATGATTTAGATTCCAACCACTAAAATTACAGATTGATCTTCCACAACTGTTTGGTAAAATGTGTATAAGTCGTCAACACCAGGGTGGCCCTTGGTGGTACAGCCTAAGTGCTACATGTACAGTCCGTGAAATTCATATGGTTTTATACCCTTTCACTTACATTAGCACGCTTTATAGTAGCATTACACTCTAATTTATATGTAACTCAACAGCAACATGAGCATTGTCTAAAAATAGTAACGGGGACTTTCCAATGTCAGAGTTCACATACCCAAAACAAGCTATTTGAATACATATTTCATTATAAATGATAAATGTACAAAACTTTAATGTACATGTGACACTCATATGTTGCTGAAATAAAGACTTTAATGTACATGTGACACGCATATGTTACTTGAATAAAGACTATAAAGTACATATGACACGCATATGTTACTGAAATAAAGATTATGTCGAACTTAATTGTCTTACGCCAGTAGCAGCGATCAAGTGAATTCATCAATTTCGGTTCTGTCAGCAATGTGTCATTATTTGCAGAGCTACGCATTCTTTTGGAAAATATCCAGAATTTATTGCGTGAATTCATAAATCAAGAAATGGCACTACCTTCTTCAGACTATAATTTGACATCGAGTAAATACAAAAAAAGAACAATATACATTGGTGTAAATATAATACATGTTTCCAATATAGTTTTTAATAACTGATATCGTACAATAAGATTAATGAATAGATCAATGATGTAGTTTATCTGTTATTTCAGATCAACTTTTCTGTTGAACACCCACAATAATGGCTGAAGGACCTGTGCTAGAAAACCCAAGGAGCAACGACACCATTAATCTATCAGCCCGTCGTCTCCTCGAATGTTCTATATGCCTAGAGCAGATGCGACAACCGAAATCACTTCCTTGTTTACATTCTTTCTGTGAGGACTGTCTTGGTGCCTTTATCATCACAGATTTGTCGGGAGACATGGCCGCCGCGATTTCCTTCCCTTGTCCTGTTTGCAGAAAGATCACATCACCAATTGATCACTCAAAAAGTAAAGAAACATGGGCACAGCAGTTCCCGGTCAACAGTTTAGTTCAAAATTTGAACAGCCTCAAAATGGTTACAGATAATTCATATTGTTGTGGTCCTTGCAAGAAGACAAAAAATCTTCAGACGCCAGCAACATTTTTCTGTAAAATGAACAAAATGTTGTTTTGCGATTTTTGCAAGGAAAGTTTCCATGATGTCGTTCACGAAGATTGTAACATAGCACTTATTACAGAGAACAACTGGAAAGCATTACTGAAACAGCGTGACTATTTAACATGCTCAATACATAAAGAGATGATTGACTACTTTTGTGAAAGTCATAAATTCATTGGATGCAGCAAATGCATTACCACCGATCACAGACGCTGTACCAAAGTGTCAACAACTGAAGAGTATTGTGAAAAACAGAAAAACAACTCCTGCCTAGATGAAATGGATATGTTTCTTGAGGAGGCGTCTAACTGTATCGAACGTATGTTAATAGCTACCGATGGTCAAGTTGAAACCATGCAAAACAACCGGGATATTGGTTTGAGTAGCATTTTAGATCTGCGCCAAAAGATGAACACATATCTCGATAACAAACAAGAAGAGATAACACAGGAATTGATATCCCAATATAAATTGGAGAAAGCCAGGCTGGATTTAAAGAAACAAAAATGTACTCGTCTAAGGACTGCCATTCAAAATACAAAGGAGGCATCCAAGGTAGCTGCTCAGGTGGACGACAAAATTGAAATGATACAGCTTTTTCTTCGTGCTCAGACAGAGATACTTGCATGTAATGATCTGATTGACGACATGAAGCAAACATCCAAGTTTGTTTCTATAACACACGATGCAAGCTTCTCGGCAATCGACCAGACAAGCACTCTTTCCCTTGGAGGAATCCTTGTCGAGGAGGAATCATGTAGCTTACCGGACGATGTAGAGTATATACCAAATGTTGCTAAACTCACAAGCGGTCATGTCGAGAAATTAGGAACTTTCAGTATAGACACACCGTCTGATTCATATTATAGTGAAGCTCACGGAGTTGTGATGTTGTCGAATGGAAATGTTGTTGTGTGTGATTATGGAAATGATCAACTAAAATTGTTTTCTTTCGAAGGGCAATGTTTGGATGTTTTGGAAATCGACGGATGGCCACATGATTTATGCTTAATGAATGATTACACAGTGGCTGTGGCTGTTTCTGAAAGGGGAGCTGGTGTACATGTCGCTACAATACTAGCATCAAAGCTAGCCCTTTTGACTGTAATAAACATACCAGAAGAGTGTTATGGTATAGCGTTCATAGATGGGGTGTTTATTGTTAGTATATCGAATGGCACTCAAACAGTGACATTGAAAGGTGAGACAGCGCAAGTACACGCAATACCTGCAGCAAGCAAACATCTGACATCGAATCCAGATGAAAAACACACCTTTGCCAGTCTGGAAACACCTGAAGATGGTGGGGTTGAGATAACGAAACTGACTGCTGATGCTCATACTTGTGTTTTGCGTTCTGGATTAGTGAAAGGAGCTATGGGAGTGGATGTAGACAAAGAGGGGAATTTGTACGTATGTGGACAAGCCTCTAACAACGTAGTTATGGTGTCTGCGTGCGGGACTAAGATCAGAGAGCTTCTTACCTCAAAGGATGGCATCAACAGTCCCAGGGCTATATCTGTATGTGGAGACAAATTTGTAGTCACCACCAAAGCATCAGAAAAGGAGCAAGACATACATTTGTATCAGCTCTGATTTACCTATCATTGTTTCAAGAGGAACTGTAGAACTCTAGAACTTTTGACGAATGAGTTCCAATTTTACTATTTGAATAACAATACTACTGTTTTCCAATGTTGAAGATTTTTCTTATCAATTTGGAAATTAAAAAAAATCGTCTCAAAAGAGAAAACAAAATACTTATCCGAACATAATGGAGCGTTTGATATATCGGTACGATCTGATGGTCACATTTCTGAGGTGTTAAGCTATATAAAATAAGACTAATTAATGCAAGACTCAGTGTTCGTTTGAAAACTGTCAAATTGAAAATGACATTTATAATCACTGCTCCATTGTAATATTCTTCAGTTTGACTTTCGATCTGTGATATAAGTAAACTTGCAAAATGTACGATCCAATCACACAGTTGTGTGCAAGATAATGTATAATATGTGTGTGCTCAAGATGTATCCACGATGAATGAAGGATGTGCGCATGAAGATTTTGGTGCGTTTTGTGTTGTCACAACTGTAACAGAATGTCTTTAGTTGGTAAACATCTACTGACTTCCTTCATCAGACGATATGTCTTGACAATATCCCCAATGCTGTCATGACAATGTCCCACAATGATGTCCTGAGAATTTCCCCAATGATTTCCTGACAATATCCCCCAGTGATTTCCTGACAATATCCCCCAATGATTTCCTGACAATATCCCCAATGATGTCCTGACAATATCCCCAATGATGTCCTGACAATATCCCCAATTATTTCCTGACAATATCCCCAATGATGTCCTGACAATATCCCCAATGATTTCCTGACAATATCCCCAATAATTTCCTGACAATATCCCCAATGATGTCCTGACAATATCCCCAATGATGTCCTGACAATATCCCCAATTATTTCCTGACAATATCCCCAATTATTTCCTGACAATATCCCCCAATTATTTCCTGACAATATCCCAATGATGTCCTGACAATATCCCCAATGATTTCCTGACAATATCCACCATGATGTCCTGACAATATTCCCAATGATTTCCTGACAATATCCCCCATGATGTCCTGACAATATCCTGCAATCATTTACTGACAATATCCCCCAATGATTTCCTGACAATATCCCCCAATGATGTCCTGATCCCCAATTATTTCCTGACAATATCCCAATGATGTCCTGACAATATCCCCAAAGATTTCCTGACAATATTCCCCAATTATTTCCTGACAATATCCCCAATAATTTCCTGACAATATCCCCAATTATTTCCTGACAATATCCCAATGATGTCCTGACAATATCCCCAATGATGTCCTGACAATATCCCCCAATGATTTCCTGACAATATCCCCAAAGATTTCCTGACAATATCCCCCAATGATTTCCTGACAATATCCCCAATGATTTCCTGACAATATCCCCCAATGATTTCCTGACAATATCCCCAATGATGTCCTGACAATATCCCCAAAGATTTCCTGACAATATCCCCAATGATTTCCTGACAATATCCCCAATGATGTCCTGACAATATCCCCAATGATGTCCTGACAATATCCCCAATGATTTCCTGACAATATCCCAATGATTTCCTGACAATATTACCCAATGATTTCCTGACAATATCCCCAATGATTTCCTGACAATATCCCCCAATGTTGATTTCCTGACAATATCCCCAAAGATTTCCTGACAATATCCTCCAATGATTTCCTGACAATATCCCCCAATGATGTCCTGACAATATCCCCCAATGATTTCCTGACAATATCCCCAAAGATTTCCTGACAATATTCCCCAATGATTTCCTGACAATATCCCCCAATGATGTCCTGACAATATCCCCAATGATTTCCTGACAATATCCCCCAATCATTTCCTGACAATATCCCCAATGATTTCCTGACAATATCCCCCAATGATTTCCTGACAATATCCCCCAATGATTTCCTGACAATATCCCCCAATCATTTCCTGACAATATCCACAGTGATGTCCTGACCATATCCCCAATGATGTCCTCACAATATCCCCCAATGATGTCCTGACAATATCCCCAATGATTTCCTGACAATATCCCCAATAATTTCCTGACAATATCCCCAATGATTTCCTGACAATATTACCCAATACTGTCCTGACAATATCCCCAATGATTTCCTGACAATATCCCAATGATTTCCTGACAATATCCCCCAATCATTTACTGACAATATCCCCCATGATGTCCTCACAATATCCCCCAATGATGTCCTGACGATATCCCCAATGATGTCCTGACAATATCCCCAATGATTTCCTGACAATATCCCCCAATGGTGTCCTGAGAATTTCCCCAATGATGTCCTGACAATACCCCCATGGTGTCCTGAGAATTTCCCCAATGATTTCCTGACAATATTCCCCAGTGATTTCCTGACAATATCCCCCAATGATGTCCTGACAATATCCCCAATGATGTCCTGACAATATCCCCAATGATTTCCTGACAATATCCCCAATAATGTCCTGACAATATCCCCCAATGATGTCCTGACAATATCCCCCAATGATGTCCTGACAATATCCCCAATGATGTGTTGACAATATCCCCCAATGATGTCCTGTCAATATCCCCAATGCTTTCCTGACAATATCCCCAAAGATTTCCTGACAATATCCCCCAATGATTTCCTGACAATATCCCCCAATGTTGTCCTGACAATATCCCCAATGATGTCCTGACGATATCCCCAATGATGTCCTGACGATATCCCCAATGATTTCCTGACAATATCCCCAATGATTTCCTGACAATATCCCCCAATGATGTCCTGACAATATCCCCCAATGATTTCCTGACAATATCCCCCAATGATGTCCTGACAATATCCCCAATGATGTCCTGACAATATCCCCCAATGCTTTCCTGACAATATCCCCAATGATGACCTTACAATATCCCCCAATGATGTCCTGACAATATCCCCAAAGATTTCCTGACAATATCCCCCAATGATTTCCTGACAATATCCCCCAATGATGTCCTGACAATATCCCCAAAGATTTCCTGACAATATCCCCAATGATTTCCTGACAATATCCCCCAATGATTTCCTGACAATATCCCCAATGATGACCTTACAATATCCCCCAATGATGTCCTGACAATATCCCCAAAGATTTCCTGACAATATCCCCCAATGATTTCCTGACAATATCCCCCAATGTTGTCCTGACAATATCCCCAATGATGTCCTGACCATATCACCAATCATTTACTGACAATATCCCCCAATGATGTCATGACGATATCCCCAATGATGTCCTGACAATATCCCCTAATGATTTCCTGACAATATCCCCCAATCATTTCCTGACAATATCCCCAATGATTTCCTGACAATATCCCCAATGATTTCCTCAATGATTTCCTGACAATATCCCCAATGATTTCCTGACAATATCCCTCAATGATGTCCTGACAATATCCCCAATGATGTCCTGACCATATCCCCAATCATTTACTGACAATATCCCCCAATGATGTCCTGACGATATCCCCAATGATTTCCTGACAATATCCCCAAGGATGACCTTACAATATCCCCCAATGATGTCCTGACAATATCCCCCAATGATTTCCTGACAATATCCCCCAATGATGTCCTGACAATATCCCCAATGATGTCCTGACCATATCCCCAATCATTTACTGACAATATCCCCCAATGATGTCCTGACAATATCCCCCAATGCTTTCCTGACAATATCCCCAATGATGACCTTACAATATCCCCAAAGATTTCCTGACAATATCCCCCAATGATTTCCTGACAATATCCCCTAATGATGTCCTGACAATATCCACAGTGATGTCCTGACCATATCCCCAATCATTTACTGACAATATCCCCCAATCATTTACTGACAATATCCCCAATGATGTCCTGACAATATCCCCAATGATGTCCTGACAATATCCCCTAATGATTTCCTGACAATATCCCAATGATTTCCTGACAATATCCCCAATGATTTCCTGACAATATCCTCCAATATCCCCAGAGGCCTTGTAGGAGTTATTCTATCTCCTCTGCTCCGACCACTCCCGTCTTATTCCGGTTTAATGTCCGATATTTGTACTACTTGTATCCAACTTCAGAAAAGATTAATGTCAAACATGTATTTCTCTTCATTGCTGATTATTTGAACTGGGTAATGAGCGAAAAAGTATGTCTCCATTGTGACATATCATCTGAAATCGTTTTTCTGCCAGAAATCACCATTCGAGTATTGATATGAATGACCACTAAAACGAAACAAATAAAACAGCTATAGCCAATCGCTGTTAATGAATCCTCGTCAAACTGTTTAACTTATCCATTCCTGTCATTGAACAGATTTTGTCCAGAACTGTTACTGTAGAAAAGTAATGGAGGTTTATAGACAGTCGTAATGGGGATACCGTTGTAGATTTATGCATAAAGGTTTTAAAGAATGGTAATTGCAAGAGTTTGCTTTTCAAATTTTTATTATTATTATCATTATTATTATTTTTTTTTTTTTTTTGCGAAAAATTTGGATGTTACGGTAAACAGGTGACCATACATCCATGCATATGATTTGATGTAATGGCCCATAGCTTTAATGATGTAGGAGAGGGAGATGGAGAATGACGGAAATGGTACATGTCTAGGGAAATTTAAAGTCACGAGATCAATTTGAATTTGCTTCAAAGTGTAAGAATTTTAAAATATTGAAATAATTTTGAAAATAATTTCATTTTTAAAGACATGACAACATCAAAGGACACACAGTGTGGACAATAGCATGACTACTAAACTGCCACATGTATGGATTCTGTGATTTTGCCATAGTTAATGAGATACCCATTAGAGACGAGAACGTGTTTCAACCGGACAGGGAAATGTCCCCCTTGTCATTTATAAATATATTTCGTCAAGTCATAATTTGGTTTGTACTTCGTCAATCTCTTGCATCAAATACTCATTGGAAAGTGGTAAGGGGAATCCCTTCATCTTCAAATCTCTCAAAATCATTTGTCGGAAATAAAAAGCCAGTTTGAAACCATAAAACAATGTTGCAGTTTTACACTAAATTTGTTTTTATTGACAAGTTATCTTGTAGGTATATTATCTTAAATAAACCAAGAACGAAATAGGGTGTTCTCATAGATAGTCACATGTACATGCATGTAATTTACAATACAGCGTACATCACGACTGTTAGGATTACAGTTACATGATGAAATGAGGGTCATTCAAACCAAATTATTTTAATGTAAATTCGCTGAAATTATGGAAGTGTAGAACTATTTGATTTTTCAAGACAGCTACAATGTGAATAAAGATATTCCAACAGATTATTGATGTATATGTGGGAACTGTGACCCTCTGTTGGCTGACTTGTTTTTGTTTCCATACGGGACTTAATTCGTCAAAGAACTTATCAAAGACCTTGCAAAGTCCTTCAGTTTCACTTTCAGATATACTGATGACGTCCTGTCGTTAAAAAACAAGTAATTTATTGAACGCGTTCATCGTATATAAAGGAAATAAAGGATATCACAACCTTCTACATGAGCCGCTGATCTCGATCTTTTCCTGCATAGAAAGCAACATGAATAGCTTTTCACCAAGCTGTATGATAAAAGCGATGATTTCAATTTCTCAGTTGATTTGATGTGGTAGGGCCTGTTCCTAATATCACGATGGCAAAACGTCGTCAACCAGTAGACAAACACATGATAAAAAGTTTCAGGAGATGCAAATCCGTGAAAATCATTGGGAGGTTGTACGGTAATCAATGAAAAAGAGATGCAAATCCGTGAAAATCATGGGGAAGTTGTACGGTAATCAATGAAATATCTTGAGAAATATTCTATTCCTTTTTTACGATTTTTATGCTCGTTAGTTTGCCCGTTGGTTCCATTGTTGTTTACCTTGCTCTCATATTTGAGAACATGACATTACCTACGCAAATTGACCAATATTTACATGGCACGTGTCGTCAATGAAGAAGAAAATGTCAACAAATGTATTTTCCGAAATTAATTCACACTTGATGTAAGGTCCATGTCCATAACACACATGTTCTGCATTTCTCTATTTGTTTTCTGGCTGAGCAGGAAAGCAAAAATGTTTTATTTTTTATATAAATCTATTGCCATAGTAAATTCATGTACCAGGTAAATTCTTAAAACGAACATTTCTTATCCTTCACGCTTTGCAGTGTTGTGGTTTTGTTTTTCCTTTTACCCTTGCAAAAATAGTTGGGGAGAGGGTTGTTAGGTTTTAATTGAACTATCACCACTGTCCATCCTCCTAACCCAAAGACGCGCCTTAGGTGAGGCGAGGAACATAACCGTCCATTTGTAGAATGATGCCCCTTATCAATCGATCCGTCCATGCCAATTTGCTTATTTTCTTCTCCCTAATATAACTTTGCCATTTCTGATCAAACCAAAATTTTGTAGTTGGATCTATTGTGTGTTAAAAAGGTTTCCTGTGTGACTTTATTGCATAGTAATAGTGTTTTGACGTTTTTGTCCTGTTCTTTTACGACTTCATCCCTTTCACAGTTATTGGCCTTCCCTTCTTGTCCAAGACATAATTCTGACAATTATTGACCTAGAGATAATAAACTTGAACATAAACACATTTTTCTGCCATTACTTTTGTGGACTTGAATTCCAACAAGAACAGTGTAACTGACCGGGTAATGCCCCAAAGTCATGGAAAATAGCAACTGTGATTCCTATCTCCAAAACGGTTGAGAGATACGACAAATCCCTCCAGTTACCGCCCAATATCACTCACGAGTTGCGTTTGTAAAACGGATGATAAATTCAAGATTAATTTGATATCTTGAATCCAATCACATAATATCACACCTTCACAGCAGTTTTAGATCTAAGCGACGTACCAACGATCATTGGGTTAGACTTGAAACCTTTGCGCGTGAGGATTTTCTAAAGAAGGAGTACTTGGTTGCTGTTTTCTTCTATTCGGAAAAGGCTTACGACACAACGTGGAAATACGGCATAATGAAAGATCTGCACGATAGAGGTATTAAAGGTAACCTACCAATTTTTATTCCAAATTTTTTATCAGATAAAGTATTTCAAGTCAGGAATGGAACGACCCTTTCCGATGTTCATCGGTAGGAAATAGGTGTACCACAAGGTAGCTTTGGTCTTAAAATTAACAGTATTACCTAAACTTTATCCCCTTCAATGGAGGGCGCTCTTATGTCGATGACTTCATGATATGCTATCGATCTAAGCATATAAATACCATCGAAAGACAACTACAACAATGTTTGAATCGACTCCAAATTTTGGCAGATGAAAATGGATTTAAATTTTCACAATCAAAAACAGTTTGTATTCATTTTTGTCGAAATAGGAAACAACACGACGATCCAAATCTGTCTGTCTGTGATGTGCCCATCCCGGTTGTTGGGCAAACCAAATTCTGTTACGGTATTTCTGTAAAACCTACAGGATCTAGAGGGTTGTATATCTGTTACGGAGTTTCTGTAAATGTTATCACCTACAGAATCTAGAGGGTTGTAGATCTATTACAATGTTTCTGTAAATATTATGACTTGCATAATCTAGAGGGTTGTATATCTGTAACGGTCCTGTTAATGTTATCACCTACATGATCTAGAGGGCTTATCTGTTACATTTTTACTGCGAATATTATCTAATAAATAATATTATTGTGATTGCAAATAGACGATCCAATCTTTTAGACGCCATTGGTCAGTCTTTATACTAATTATTGTTGTAAGAGCGACATTGAAGCTCACAACATATAAAATACGGAAACAGATGTTATATAAATTAGAGCTTCCCATTAATCGATATATTCAGTTGATAGAACATAATTCTACAATATGAATTCATTTGCATACATTTTGATGATAGATAATATTAGATATTTACGTAATTACTCCAATATCTCACCAATGTAAATATGAACAACCTGTCATCATAACGATCTTTTATTGTGAATTTAATCCTTGTGTTAAATACGGTTTTATGGGTTTTAATAAATAAATGAATATATTATTTGATATAAATCGGTGTTCTGCACTTATAAGGTTACAATTAGGAATAGATCAATTTTTTTGTTTTAATTTCACATTAATGCGGTAAGTGGAGAGCACCTGTCAATACAAGTGTAACACTACATACAGTAATATTAGGTTCAGCTGCGTCGTACAGTTGTTACTAATAAAGACCTTACTGTCTGAAATCAGAATTCAGTAAATATCATAATAATAAATATTGATTTATTTCGAAGGTCTCATAATAATTCTAGTAGATTGTAACTTACTTATCAAAAGTCTTACGTTCTGCACGTATATGAAAATATTTACCTAGTTATCTGTCAGGGTACTGGGTTGTATATGTTAGAAAATGTGATTTATACTCCTGGTATGATCATTCGACATTCAGCATTTCAAATCAATTTTTTTACAAAAAAAAATTCTCTCCATAATTACTTGTCATATTTTTATCAATTCAAAGAAAAATTGTTTTCAGTAATCAAGTTCCAGGCAGTAGTTCTCCAAAAATGGTGATAACAAACTATGACTGTTAAAAACTAAGATAGCCGTCTGTCAGACCTTTTTGCGATCAATCTCATATGAACTAAGCACAACTAGGACAAAGGCAGGCCTACATGTGAAATTGGAGAATGATCCGTCATTCTCTATTACACAAGGTCTACTTAAATTTTCTTATGTTTTCTTAATAGCAAATATGTAAATAGATATTTGATTTTTTTTAGCCATGCTTAGATTTAAATAATGTTATTGTTATTTTCTCGAGAAAACCATTTAAATTTATTACACAGGTGAAATTATTTTTATTCCAGTTGGCAAACATTTCTTCAGAAACAGCAATAACAAAATATGTTATATAAAGCCAAAATGTCGCCTGTCGGCCATATTGTTCTTCTGATCAGTCCTAAAATAGATAGTTAGATAATGAGGGGCAAAGGTTAACCTACAAATAAACTTTGAGTATGATATATGGATGTAATCTGCTACTTGCAGCAGAGACCCGGACTTGTCAATCTGGTCAGGACCAACCAGACCACTGAAATGTGCGGATTACATTTTTTTTCAGCGAAACCATTCACATTATTGTCCGGAAGATAAGACAGACAAAAAATCTTTTATTCAAAGCTGATAGTCTGATTATACAGTACATCTAAATATGCTTGACCATTCGAGGGTGTTTCATGCAATATGTTATCAGGTATTATTAAAGGTAAATACTGTTATCATGGCTTGATTTAACTTTGGTTTGTACCGATATTTCATTGACTAAATTCTACTCTGTAAGCCGATAAGAATATATATCTTATAAAGTGACATTTAAATCACGTTTGGATTTTGTATAACCGTATTGTTAATACCTTGTCACAATTAATATGCATGGGAAAACGAAGTCACTGTGCTTCTCGTGTGAAGACCACTTATGTTGACAAAACCATTATGTTAAAAGGGGCATGGATAATATAATTTGTTGAAACTGAAATTAATACACACGTCACCCACAGCTGTAAATATATGTACATAAAACTCAAAGATAATACACGTGACAAATAATACATTTAAAAATGGTCAAATACAAACAAAAGAAAAACGATGGAGCTAATTATAATATGAAAATTATTATAATGATCCGGATTTATCCATAACCGTTATTTGGACTTATTTATTAGTTTACAAGCTCCCTGAGTAAGTAGCCATTTCCGTTACTGTGCGCTGGCAGCGTCTTACAGTGTACCAGAACCTGCGACTGGACTGAACGGAACATTTTGGCTTATCGATATCAATAGTTCCACTGCACTACATTGTCAAACTGGTGAGTCATGAGTTATGTATGTAAAAAAGACAATTTAAGTCAGATAATGTTTTGTCAAATGTGAGCCTCAAAAATGTGTCTGTTTCACACAGGCTCTGAGCAAGTGGGAGTTGGAGATTAAAGATAGACAAAGAAGTGTTGAAGCATATCCCAAAATACTTACAATACGTTTTATCACTGAACATGTTGTATTCACGAAACCTGGTTATTTTACTTGATTGCTTAGAGATAAAGAGTACCACTTAACTGTATTGAAATCGAAAGCGAAAGTATGTAGAGCGGTTGTACTTCCTGGAAATATGTATGAACGATGATTCGGAGAAATAGAGTGATATTCACGACTATTTAATATATGTTTATAAAGAAAGTAAATACATACTTAATGTTTTTGCCTCTTTTGGGAAATTAAAATTGTATCATTTTGCAAAGCGATAAAACAACAAAATATCCAACTACACATGTTTGTGTTATTACCCCAGAAATAGCTGTTATGACGAACAGTAACCTGCTGTTATAAGGAAAAGTTACCAGCTGTTGTAGGGGAACACTAACCAGCTGTTATAGGGGAACAGTAACCACCTGTTATAGGGGAACAGTAACCATATGTTATAGGGGAACAGTAACCACCTGTTATAGGGGAACAGTAACGAACTGTTATAAGGGAACAGTAACCATATGTTATAGGGGAACGGTAACCAACTGTTATAAGGGGAAAAGTAACCAGCTGATATAGGGGAACAGTAACCACCTGTTATAAGGGGAACAGTAACCACCTGTTATAAGGGGAAAAGTAACCAGCTGTTATACGGGAACAGTAACCAGCTGTTACAAGGGAACAGTAACCACCTGTTATAAGGGGGAAAGTAGCCACCTGTTATAATGGGAACAGTAACCAGCTGATATAGGGGAACAGTAACCACCTGTTATAAGGGGGAAAGTAACCACCTGTTATAAGGGGAAAAGTAACCAGCTCTTATACGGGAACAGTAACCAGCTGTTATAAGAGAACAGTTTCCCCCTCTTATAAGGGAACAGTATCCATATGTTTTAGGGGAACAGTAACCACCTGTTATAATGGAACAATAACCATATGTTATAGGGGAACAGTAAGCATCTGTTATAAGGGAACAGTAACTAGAAGTTATACAGGAACAGTAACCAACTGTTATAAGGGAACAGTAACCAGAAGTTATACAGGAACAGTAACCACCTGTTATAAGGGAAACAGTAACCATCTGTTATAGGAGAACAGTAACCAGCTGTTATAGGGGAACAGTAACCATCTGTTATAAGGGAACAGTAACCACCTGTTGCAAGGGAACAGTAACCAACTGTTATAAGGGAACAGTTACCAGCTGTTATAAGTTAACAGTAACCAGCTGTTATAAGGAAACAGTAACCATCTGTTATAGGGGAACAGTAACCATCTGTTATAAGGGAACAGTAACCACCTGTTGTGGGGGAACAGTAACCACCTGTTATAAGGGGAAAAGTAACCAGTTGTTATACGGTAACAGTAACCAGCAGTTACAAGGGAACAGTAACCACCTGTTATAAGGGGAAAAGTAACCACCTGTTATAAGGGGAACAGTAATCAGCTGATATAGGGGAACAGTAACCACCTGTTATAAGGGGAAAAGTAACCAGCTGATATAGAGGAACAGTAACCACCTGTTATAAGGGGAACAGTAACCAGCTGTTACAAGGGAACAGTAACCACCTGTTATAAGGGGGAAAGTAACCACCTGTTATAAGGGGAAGAGTAACCAGCTGATATAGGGGAACAGTAACCACCTGTTATAAGGGGAAAAGTAACCAGCTGTTATACGGGAACAGTAACCAGCTGTTACAAGGGAACAGTAACCACCTGTTATAAGGGGGAAAGTAACCACCTGTTATTAGGGGAAGAGTAACCAGCTGATATAGGGGAACAGTAACCACCTGTTATAAGGGGAAAAGTAACCAGCTGTTATACGGGAACAGTAACCAGCTGTTACAAGGGAACAGTAACCACCTGTTATAAGGGAACAGTAACCACCTGTTATAAGGGGAAAAGTAACCAGCTGTTATACGGGAACAGTAACCAGCTGTTACAAGGGAACAGTAACCAGCTGTTATACGGGAACAGTAACCATCTGTTATAGGGGAACAGTAACCATCTGTTATAAGGGTACAGTAACCACCTGTTGTAGGGGAACACTAACCAACTGTTATAGGGGAACAGTAACCAGCTGATAAAGGGGAACAGTAACCACCTGTTATAGGGGAACAGTAACCAGCTGTGATAAGAGAACAGTAACCAGCTGTTATAAGGGAAAAGTAACCAGCTGTTTAAGGGAAACAGTAACCATCTGTTATAGGAGAACAGTAACCAGCTGTTATAGGGGAACAGTAACCATCTGTTATAAGGGAACAGTAACCAACTGTTATACGGGAACAGTAACCAGCTGTTACAAGGGAACAGTAACCAGCAGTTATAAGGGAACAGTAACCACCTGTTGTAAGGGAACAGTAACCACCTGTTGTAGGGGAACACTAACCAACTTTTAAAGTGGAACAGTAACCAGCTCATATAGGGGAGCAGTAACCACCTGTTATAGGGGAACAGTAACCAGCTGTAATAAGAGAACAGTAACCAGCTGTTTTAAGGGAAAAGTAACCAGCTGTTTAAGGGAAACAGTAAATCTGTTATAGGAGAACAGTAACCCTGTTATAGGGGAACAGTAACCATCTGTTATAGGAGAACAGTAGCCAGCTTGTATACGGGAACAGTAACCAGCTGTTATAAGGGAACAGTAACCACCTGTTATAAGGGAACAGTAACCACCTGTTATTGGGGAACAGTAACCAGCTGTTATAAGGGAACAGTAACCAGCTGTTATAGAGGAACAGTAACCATCTGTTATAAGGGAACAGTAACCAACTGTTATAGGGGAACAGTAACCAGCAGTTATACAGGAACAGTTACCATCTGTTATAAGAGAACAGTAACCTCCTGTTATAGGGGAACAGTAACCAGCTGTTATAGGGGAACAGTAACCACCTGTTATAGGGGAACAGTAACCAGCTGTGATAAGAGAACAGTAACCAGCTGTTATAAGGGAAAAGTAACCAGCTGTTATAAGGGAACAGTAACCAACTGTTATAAGGGAACAGTTACAAGCTGTTATAAGGGACATTAACCAGCTGTTATAAGGGAACAGTTACAAGCTGTTATAAGGGAACAGTAACCAGCTGTTATAAGGGAACAGTAACCAACTGTTATAAGGGAACAGTTACAAGCTGTTATAAGGGAACAGTAACCAGCTGTTATAAGGAAACAGTAACCAGCTGATATAGGGGAACAGTAACCAGCTGTTATAAGGAAACAGTAACCATCTGTTATAGCAGAACAGTAACCATCTGTTATAAGGGAACAGTAACCACCTGTTATAGGGAAACAGTAACCATCTGTTATAGGAGAACAGAAACCAGCTGTTATAGGGAAACGGTAACCATTTGTTATAAGGGAACAGTAACCAACTGTTATACGGGAACAGTAACCAGCTGTTACAAGGGAACAGTAACCAGCAGTTATAAGGGAACAGTAACCACCTGTTGTAAGGGAACAGTAACCACCTGTTGTAGGGGAACACTAACCAACTTTTAAAGTGGAACAGTAACCAGCTCATATAGGGGAGCAGTAACCACCTGTTATAGGGGAACAGTAACCAGCTGTAATAAGAGAACAGTAACCAGCTGTTTTAAGGGAAAAGTAACCAGCTGTTTAAGGGAAACAGTAACCACCTGTTATAGGGGAACAGTAACCAACTGTTATAGGAGAACAGTAGCCAGCTGTTATACGGGAACAGTAACCAGCTGTTACAAGGGAACAGTAACCAGCTGTTATAAGGAAACAGTAACCACCTGTTATAAGGGAACAGTTACCAGCTGTTTTAAGGGAACAGTAACCAGCTGTTATAAGGAAACAGTAATCATCTGTTATAAGGGAACAGTAACCATATGTTGTAGGGGAACAGTAACCAGCAGTTATACAGGAACAGTAACCATCTGTTATAAGGGAACAGTAACCTCCTGTTATAGGGGAAGAGTAACCACTTGTTATAAGGGAACAGTTACAAGCTGTTATAAGGGAACAGTAACCAGCTGTTATAAGGAAACAGTAACCATCTGTTATAGGAGAACAGTAACCAGCTGTTATAAGGGAACAGTAACCAACTGTTATAAGGGAACAGTTACAAGCTGTTATAAGGGACATTAACCAGCTGTTATAAGGGAACAGTTACAAGCTGTTATAAGGGAACAGTAACCAGCTGTTATAAGGGAACAGTAACCAACTGTTATAAGGGAACAGTTACAAGCTGTTATAAGGGAACAGTAACCAGCTGTTATAAGGAAACAGTAACCAGCTGATATAGGGGAACAGTAACCAGCTGTTATAAGGAAACAGTAACCATCTGTTATAGCAGAACAGTAACCATCTGTTATAAGGGAACAGTAACCACCTGTTATAGGGGAACAGTAACCATCTGTTATAGGAGAACAGTAACCACCTGTTATAAGGGAACAGTAACCACCTGTTACAGGGGAACAACAACCAACTGTTATAAGGGGAACAGTAACCAACTGTTATAGGGGAACAGAACCACCTGTTATAGGGGAACAGTTACCAGGTGTTATAAGAGAACAGTAACCAACTGTTATAAGGGGAACAGTAACCAACTGTTATAAGGGAACAGTAACCATATGTTATAGGGGAACAGTAACCAGCTGTTATAGGGGAACAGTATTCAGCTGTTATAGGGGAACAGTAACCATATGTTATAGGGAAACAGTAACCAGCTGTTATAGGGGAACAGTAACCACCTGTTATAGGGGAACAGTAACCACCTGTTATAGGGGAACAGTAACCATATGTTATAGGGAAACAGTAACCAGCTGTTATAGGGGAACAGTAACCACCTGTTATAGGGGAACAGTAACCAGCTGTTATAGGGGAACAGAACCACCTGTTTTATGGGAACAGTAACCAGCTGTTATAAGGGAACAGTAACCAACTGTTATAAGGGAACAGTAACCAACTGTTATAGGGGAACAGAACCACCTGTTTTATGGGAACAGTAACCAGCTGTTATAAGGGAACAGTAACCAACTGTTATAAGGGAACAGTAACCAGCTGTTATTGGGGAACAGTAACCAACTGTTTCTTTGAATTAAAGTTCTTAAATTGATGATAAGTGAACCAACAATTCAGTATTGCTTTGTACTATGTTGTGATTCAGAGTTGTTGACGCTGAAAATTTAATCACGTCCACTACACCGTCACAAAATGTAGTCCACAGGGGATAATACAAAACTTCATATTAAGTGCTCCACTTTTGACCAAAACGTACAAATATCGGTATCAAAACGAAAGAAATCATGATGTTACGTTGGAATTGATTTTACCTAGAACTACACCCTACGTCCGGCCAAGCAGGAGGTTCAAGTTTATACCCCTTGAACAAAACAAAAAAAAATGTGGTAGGGGTTAGACCGAAAAGTTCAGACTCTACTATGAAATATCAAAATTCACGTTTATTATGCAGTATTTATTCATATATTTACTAAATATATCCAGCTTAAAGTTTACAAAACTGGCAGAACCGCATCAACCATAGATGCGGTAAATTTAACGACATCCCCGCAACGCACCCATGCTTTCTGAGTTCATTTAAAAGCAAAACAAAAGAGGTACATTTGCTTCGCTGCTATACTTTTCAGACCTTGCTATATATTAGCCATTCTTGTGCGTTTTTTATAGAGAGATTACATGGTCACCACATTCATTACAACAAGTAAAATGGCTTAATTCAACAACTATTTATAGTTCTAAACGTAATATTTAAGTCAATTCAGAGAGTGATTCTGTCGAATTACAGCGTGTGCTGAAATATAGCTGTTTTTCTACACCGCCGTATACAGCAAAAATGTAAGTGGCATGTGCATTCCGACAATGGCAGTGCCAGTTGCAGGATAAATAAACGTATTTCTACTTCGACTTGTAAGATTCAATTGTGTCGCTATTATGAGTTCTACTACATGTAGTTACAGCGGGTGACCGCCAGGTACTGTCCAGTACTACCCGCGCAGCTCTGTACAGCCTGGTCAGGATATTGTAAACATAAGGTCCGAGGTAAATGGATCAAGTCGTCTATATGATAAGTCCATATGATGTGTATTCCTTATTGTAATTAGAATAAAAGTTCCTACAGCACAACCAATAGAAGATTAAAGTGTGACGTATCGATAACTACACGGTCACCTTTATCAGACAAATGACCAGTGTGAAGCGTACTAGCACTGATGTACGTAGTGTAGGAGATCTACACGGTCACCTCTCTCGGACAAATGACCAGTGTGCAGCGTACTAGCACTGATGTACGTAGTGTAGCGTACTAGACTGATGTACTACACGGTCACCTCTCTCGGACAAATGACCAGTGTGAAGCGTACTAGCACTGATGTACGTAGTGTAGGAGATCTACACGGTCACCTCTCTCGGACAAATGACCAGTGTGAAGCGTACTAGCACTGATGTACGTAGTGTAGGAGATCTACACGGTCACCTCTCTCGGACAAATGACCAGTGTGCAGCGTACTAGCACTGATGTATGTAGTGTAGGAGATCTACACGGTCACCACTATCAGACAAATGACCAGTATGAAGCGTACTAGCACTGATGTACGTAGTGTAGGATATTTACACGGTCACCTCTATCAGACAAATGACCAGAATGAAGTGTACTAGCACTGATGTACGTAGTGTAGGAGATCTACACGGTCACCTCTCTCGCACAAATGACCAGTGTGAAGCGTACTAGCACTGACTTCCGTAGACTACGAAACGTTAAGGAATCAACTTTTTTTCGGCTGTACTTTTTTCGTACACTAAGATCGAAAATTGCGGGTCGACATGGTAAACAGATTAAAAAAAAAGAAAATACACATGATAGTAGCAATGTACTGAAGGCGATTCGGCTACGCTTTGATTGACAAGTACAGACATACATATTTTGAGCATCGGGTCTAAATGTAAAACTATATTTCATCAATTATAATTATTCATTTCAGATCAGCCGATCCCGATCCCAGCAACCATGGCTGAAGGTGGAAATCAACATACGAGGAAAGTGAACACCGACAACATTCATTTATCGGCCTGCCGTCTCCTGGAATGTCCTATTTGCTTGGAACAGATGCAGAAACCGAAATCCCTTCCATGTTTACATTCCTTCTGTGAGGAATGTCTAAGTTCCTTTATCATTCGAGACATGTCAGGTGATATGGCTGCAGTGACATCTTTCCCTTGTCCTGTTTGTAGGAAGATAACATCCCCCACCAATCACTCAGAGAGGAAAGAGACGTGGGCACAGCAATTTCCCACCAATAATCTGGTTCAATATTTGATCAGTTGCAAAGGAAGTGCAGAGACTCCACTTTACTGTGGTCCTTGCAAGAAGACAAAGAATATGGAAACGCCAGCGATTTCATATTGCAAAAGTAGTGAGATGCTATTTTGTGACTTCTGTAAAATGAATGTGCATGATGTCTTTCATGATGTGTGTGACATTGTAACGTTTAAAGAGACGAAGCCTGATTTAACATGGAATCAACCTTCAACAGTGACTTGTCCCACTCATAACGAGAAGATGGACTATTATTGCGAAAGTCACAAGTTCATTGGATGCTGCGAATGTATTATCGCAGGGCATCGGCGATGTTACAGAGTGATGTCAGTCAAGGAGTATTGTAAACGTCAAAAGGGCAGATCCAAACATGATGGCATGGGAAAGTCTCTTGGAGAAGTGGACAAGTGCCTTGAACTGATGTTAAACACTTTTGATCATCAGTTTGAACAATTGCAACAGTGCCAGGATGTTTGCTTGAAAAGTGTAGCAGATGTGCGAGAAAAAATTAACACATTTCTCGACAAAAAACAGGCGGGAATAATTGATGAACTAAATTTAGTATACAAAGCTGAAAAAGAAAAGGTTGATGTATTCAAGCAGAAATGCATCCGACTGAAGGCTGCCGTTCAAAACACGAAGGAATTATCACGGTCTTCAGGCTGGGAAGAAGATGACATTGGGACCTTACAGCTGTTCCATAGAGGTCAAACAGAGATTGTAGCATGTAACAACCTTATTGACGAAGTGGCACGTTCTTCAAAATCTGTCAGTATCAAACACGATATCGGACCTAAGCTCAGTACGATTGACGAATCAAGCACTCTTACATTTGGAGGAATCTGCGTGAAGGAACAACCTTGCATGTTGCCTGATGGTGTTGAGTGTGTACCAAATGTTGGATTGCTGTCAGAATGTCGCGTGAGGAGAACAAGAACGTTTAATATTGGACTTCCTTCAGATACAACAAACTGTTCTGCATATGGTGTTGTGTTGATGCCGAATGACAATATCATTGTAAGTGATTATTCCAATAAAAAACTAAAGTTGTTCTCTCCAAAAGATGTGTGCTTAAACCAGTTGAAGATTGGAAATCATGTGCGCGATATGTGTATTTCCGGGAAGGAAACTGTGGCTGTAGTTTTCTCTGCTGGCGAGAATTGTTCCGGAATACTTACCGCTAAAGTACAATCTACAGAAATCAGTTTGATAAAAAAAATAAACCTTTCTGGCAGTTCGCTGTGTTATGGCATAACAGTTTGTGATGAGGGATTCGCCGTAAGTACGTCAAAACATATTCAAACTTTAACAGTGGAAGGCAAGACACACGTGTCTTACTCATCAGGAACCGAATGTCACTATCTTACCTATTGCCCAAACCAGGAACAGGTACTTGCTAGCCTAAACACATCTACGTCAGGTAAAGTGGCTCTAACCGTTATTTCTCCATGGAAACAACCTGACGTCCTGAAGGTTGGCGTGGTCACAAATGCGATGGGAGTAGATGTGGACTATGATGGGAATATTTACGTCTGTGGTCAGTCGTCAAACAACGTCGTCCAAATCTCCGCAGATGGTACCAAGGTCAGAGAACTTCTGACATCAAAGGATGGTATAACCCAACCAAGGGCTATTTCTGTACGTGGTGACAAATTCGTAGTCACGAACATTTCATCGACACATAGGAATCATGTAGATGTTTATCAGCTCTACTGAAGAACAACGTACTGTATAACGAGCAATATAGTTTCTGTCCTGGCTCCGATTCTGTCTTATTTACAAACCTGATATAAGAGAGTATTTCCTGGTGCCGATTCTGTCTTATTTACAAACCTGATATTAGAGAGTGTTTCCTGGTTCCTAATTCTGTCGTATTTACACACTTGATGGTAGAGAGTGTTTCCT